ATCTCATTAAATTGTGCCTTTAAAGGTTTCGGTTGCATTTGTCATACACACCAAAGGTAACGAATAGGTAATAGTTATCTTACTTGTTATTATGTTGGATTGTCTAAGAGGTTTGACAAAGACCGTAAAAAAAAAAACGAGAGGAAAATTCTTATTCATAGTAGAGATGAATAACAATATCGAAGTTGAACAGTGTGTGATCTAAATGTTTGTAAAGCTTTATGGTCATCAATAATGTAAAAATCTTTTCCCATGTCCTTATCTTTATAACACATAATTTCTTATTGATTTTAATGAGCAATTTATCCAAAACACAATTAAGCGTCTATTCAACAGTGTATTGATTCAGTTAAGCTAATTTCCTTACTAATTCCAATCAGCTTCGGCAAAAGTATTGGGGTTCGATCAAAGGGATTTTTTTTTAGTCATATCGTATGTAGTACAATATGCTGAATTTTTTTTTTTTTTTTTTGGTTGTTGTTTGAGCATACAAATCAAGGAAAACATGTATAAACTCTAAAACAAATTAAACATATGCTCAAACATTGTGATAAATATTTGATGATTGTCGTCCAACATCCATTCTTCAAATGCCGAGGAACCCTAAAGTGATCCAATAGATTTTTTGTACATTTGGGAAGATTTGATCAAATAATTTCTTACCAGCTTTATATATAAACAATCCAATAAGGAATAGCATTGTTCGATAACAGTATGAAGCGTATTAGTAGCATATAAAGAAAAAAAATGAAATATATGTACTAGTACCTTTAAATAAATTTGGAAGAAAAAAATCCGTCCAAAATTAGTGCTATCAATAATCTGGGCACGAGGAAAACATCGAATCACTTCTCATTTATACACTAGAAATCCATTACGTGGTGTTCGGTTGTAAGATGACTTTGAATATAAACCCCTTCGCTTGACTTCAAATAACCCTAATTTTTCAACACGTTCTTCCAATGCCTTGTTTTTGGTATGAAAAAGGGAATCGAAACAAACTTTGGTTATTATTTTCTTGCAATCTCCTCGAGCTCCTTAAGTAGTATTCCGCATCAATGGTAAGAGGTCCTCTTAGAGTATAGAAGGTGTCACCGCAGATTTTCGCAGTGCTTTAAACTTTAAATCCTTTGTTTCAGAGAAAAAAGAGAGAAATTGTTATCCGTGACAATATTATTCTTCTACCAGGTTATTCTTGCAAATAGATTTGATACCGAAAAGTCATCAAATAAAATGAAATACAGGAAAGCCAAGTTATATTAATTTGTTTGTTTAATGTTATGTGCGAACGTGGTCGATATTATACCCTAATGCGTTTCTTTAGAAATAAGCCAGAACAAAGGAGATTATAAACAAATTTTGGTTACTTTTACTCCTTTTAAATCGGCCAAAAATGCATCAAAATATCACAATGGATCTCTAATTGAACACCTCCAGAGAGGATTTGACAATGGGAGTCTAGTGAATCGATTAAAATATTGCAAAATTGAAGGACATTCATTTGCGACACGGAATTTTGACTTTTGACAAGGGAGAACAAAGAATTTTTTTCTCGAAAGTTTTCACACTCAATTTATGCTTCAAACGGAATTTCGTAACAAAATTCTTTCCCATGACAATTCATATGATAAAATTTAAATCTTTAAACACTGAAAATGTATCTGATGATATCAGTTTGAAGGGATTTTTATCGTACTTTTATGCTTTTAGAAAAAGGACACTTTTCATTTTGATCATGTAACTGTTAACATATTTGGTCGTCTGGTGTGATTTACGACCTTTTAAAAATCTTTATAGCTTAGACAAATAGCAATTCTTATAAGTGTCCCCGCCGCCCCCTTGAGGTTCAAATCGTTCTTTTTTGGGAAGAGAAAATATTGAACTGCAAAGCACTTGAAAGTTAATGTACAGAAACCTTGACGTCAAGCAAAGCATAGATGAGTATATATAAACTAACAGACGATGAAGAAAGAATATATATCTATAAAAACATCATGCACTTGTGTATAATGTTTGATTACTATATACATGCACGAGTATGTACACACGTAAATTATTTCTTCACTCATGAATCCCCGTATATTTTCTTTGTCCAGTTTTTTTGGTGGGGTTGAGATATACTTGTATATATTCAGTTTAGAAAGTTTACTTTTTATACTATGAAATTTATAATCTAATACTTAGTTCATAAAATAATATAATATCGCTCTGTCCAGCTCAAGAATCAATTGACTGGTAGAAAGTGCGAAAAGCCCGTCCCTTTAACGTAAGTCGTCACAGAAAGAAATGAGTTTTCTTTAATTTAAAATGCATTTCTTTTTAAACGATATTTCCGTTACCCGTATTCCATTTTGAGCTGTAATAAAAAAAGTCAACCTCATGAATGTTCGTCTAATGCAACAAAAAAATCTACAGGTACATGTAGTTGTATTGTATAAGAGCTTCAGAAACAGGATTCCTTTGTACCAGAGAAAGGGGGCGGGGTGTTACGGAAAAATCGAAATGAATAAAAAATGTCAAATAACAAATCCTTTGTGCATAAAAATGGTCGTTTGGAAGCATCTGCCACCGGGGCCATAAAACCTAGTCGATTTCACTTTTGTCTCACTTTCCTACTATTAATTCCTTCGTAAAAGTGGGACCGAGACCAAAAGTGAGCTCGTCGAAGTTTTACAGCCCCTGATCCAGAAATGTATGAATATAAACCGTGAAATGCCGTAATTTAAAATTAAACTGATATCTGATTTGTAAATAAATTCCATATTCAACTATACAAAACATTGAATATCTTCTGTTTATAAATTATAACAATGTTACAGATATTCCAATTTTCCAGAGCCAATATTTTTTATAGAAATATTACAAGTTCTTCAGTAGACTTTCAATGGGTATGACATGCTTAATGCTTATACTCGCGTCACATCGAAAAGTCGGTGAGCTCGCATTATAGATCAGGTAGAAAAGGTAGATAATCTAGTTACATCGATGCATACAGCGTTTTCTACAAGAGTCTGCATGTCACCATATTTTACGTCAGCAACACCCATAAGTCTAAACGATTAGTGAAAAAAAAAACAACACTACTTCTAATCGTGGTTATAAACTACGTTGTAACTTGTAACACATTCTTACCTCTAGCGAGCCTAATTTTTTTTTTGGAATATTGATGCTTTCACTATGTTTCACTTTTTATAACTTTCCTCTAATTACTACACTTGCCTGGCATTTTAGAACCAAAGAAATATCTGATTCGCTGAAATGATATAATTTCGAGCTGACAGTACGACTTGAGTGTGCCTTACGTAAAAAATAAAATCAACACGCCTTTAATTACGTTCTGAGAGATCTTGTCTATGTATTATCTAAAATTTTGCCTATGTGGTAAACGACTTTTAAACAATTCAGAACAAATAAACATCAACCCGAGCGTGTCTAAACGTTTGAAAATAAGCAAAAGTAATCAAAGCTATTTCACAAATATTTAAAAACGGCCACTGTAGAGGTAATTTTAATTTTTCCTGTAATTACCTATCGGCACATTATAACGTGTCAATATTAGCAATGTAAATTTCTCTTCCTAAATCCTTTAACACTTGGATGAAATAAGTTAATTACTTTATAGCAATGACATCTACAAGTAGACCAAAAATTAGAAATGGGATTAATGTTGGAAATCAAAAGCTATTTTCTTGCTGAAATTTAAAATTCAAATTACTTTTCTTTAATACCCTGTCCATTTTTATTGATTTTTCTGTATCCCCTTAATTTTGTTTCCTAGTTTCCACTCTAACTCACGTGATTGATAATTTTTTTAGCTTTTTGTTTCTGGTTTGCTGCTTGCCTCTAATTTCGTATCAAGTTTTCTTTTTTCTTTATTTTTTTTTTTTGGGGGGGGGGGGGTCAGGGGGAGTAGGGTGTCACATGAAATAACAATTATAGTTTTACTCTGTTCAAAAAATCAATTGAGTTCAAAATTCTTAAACCGTTTTCATATTTGTTTAGTTCTCAAATACGTCACAAAATGTTTTTCCTAATACATGGTCATATAATTATACCGGAGATTAAAATTGCCTAACCAAAAAATATTTACATATCATGTCAAATCTAGTTAATAGCTCTCGGAAAATTTGACTTCTTGACCTTTATACACCGGTCTTCTTACGACTGTCGACTTTAATATAGTCCTAAGAGTAACCAGAATGCATATACAAAAGTAATCAGGAATATAATCGATCCCCATCCGTGGTCAACTGTAAGTGGTGGTATACAAAAATAAAATAAGGCAGAATACCAACGATGAAAAAGATACCATGACAAGAAAAAAGGCATACAAGTAACATGTGACATGTATATGCCTCGCCTGCTTTGATGAATTGAAAAAAAAAGAATTCTAGAGATAACGTATATATTATGTACAAGTACATTTGTACATGTACACTGTATATGTTAAGTTTAAAAAATGGGAGATTTTTTTGGGAGGGATGGGGGCAAGGCACTTGTTTCTATAATTATTTTTTAAAATCTTTTTTAGTGTAATAATAACAGGTTATCATGTTATTAATATACTATGGGTTAAAGAATTTATTACAGAAACTACTGCGGGGGGGGGGGGGGGGGGGGGGGAGGCTGAAAATGCTACACTAGAATCGAATCAATTTCCTTTTTTTAAGCTTCCTGTTGTGTAATTTAAAATGTATCAAACTGTAAGAGAGAATTAAATAGAGGACCACACTTTTATAAGCTGACATTTGAATGTGCTTTTGTCAGATTTACATGTATAAATAACAAAAGATTTTTAGTTCATTGACCTTAGGTAAACACATTTTTGACACATTTCATATTCAACAGGAATTCCAAATCTTTCTATTCAGACATCAGTGTAACAAATGCAGAAAGGAACTCATTACTTAGTTACAACTAAACCTTGGATAATGACTGTGTCTTATTTATCCATAAAGAATTATGGAATTTTGTCATTTAAAGAAAAAAATATACAGCTGTGATGTTAAATAAAAATCTTTTATTTGAATGACATATGACAACAGGTGATGTAAACAAAAGAAATCAACAATGATGTTTGGCACTGTTCTCTCAGTCTAATAATATTTATCTTGTGTTTTGTAGTAATGGAAAATTTGATGCCATCAGATCCCAGCTTTGACTTCATGATCAGTGTTAATTAATCTAATACAACCTAGTATATCACAGATGTCATGTATTGTTCTTTCTATTGGACCACAGAGCTAGCAGACAAAGTCCCCCAGACAACACAACACCAGTCCTGAAAAAAAATCACAAATGTGTAGCATAGCAAAGAAAATGACCACAAATATCTGAAATGTTCTACGAATCATATTTTGTCAAATCTAAGAGAGTTATGCACTTGTTGGATGGTGTTTTAACTACTGAGAGGGAAATCTCTTGATGCATCATCCATGCAAGTATGGTCCCAGCTGGCTGTAAAGTCAGCTGCAGATGGGCCTGATCTTCAGACTTTAACTACTCACTCATCCAGAAAACATGGCTTAAGTACAGCTATGAAAACACTGTTTAGGATGCTCTGTATGCTTAGATGCATAATCTGTTTTACTTTGATCCAGGTACAGTTCATAATTACTTGAGAATATGACTGCCTTCAAAACTGTAATCTGGTCAATCAACTAAAAATAGGTAAGATGAATCCTAAGATGCTCTCCTCCAGTTAGAACATAAAGTTACTTATGAGTTGGACCTGTGAGCTTAAAGAGACTTCTTAATTATTTTCACAATCATATTTTCAAACTTTTGTTGTTTGAAATCTGAGCTACTGATTTATATCTAGTATATATAGTTAATGACCTTGACTTACCACAGTGCTGGTCTGATGTAAGGAGAGTGTCTCCATCTACTGTAATGCTGTACATACATTCTCTTGTCATTTCTATAATTCCTTACCAAGTCATTGGCACTGAAATCGAAATAAAATGCTGTTTATCCACACTGTGTACTGTAGCTGGATGATCAATGTGTCTACATTAACTACAAGTCTCTGACTAGACTGTAACTCTACTGGTGTGTACCGGTACTTAAAATAAAGAAAGATGTGTATTAGTGTAGTCTACTTGTGTACCAAGTCTTAATGAAATCAGACCAAACTGTAGGAGGAGAGGTGTTTGAAAGAATTTCAAAGAAATTTCTATTTTTAGCAACATGGCAACACCATGTGTCAATACCAAATGATGTATATCCTAGTATTGTCCACTTGTGTACCATGTCTTATTGAAATCAGACCAAAATCGTAGGAAGAGTAGTGTTTTGAAAGACTTTCAAAGAAATTTCTATTTCTATAACCAAATGGCAACACCATTTGTCAAAATCAAAAACAGTTAAATAGAATTATGTATCTTAGTAAAATTTACATTTGTACCAAGACTTATTGTAATTGGACCAAAACTATAGGAGGAGTAGAGTTTGAATGGATTTTTCTATTTTCAGTAACCATGGCGACACTGTATGTCGAAATAAAAAAATGATAAAGAAAATTATGTATCTTAATATAGTCTACTTTTGTACTAAATCTTACTGAAATTGGACTAAAACTGTAGAAGGAGTAGTGTTTTGAAAAATTGCTTATGGACAGACAGCTAGACACCTTACTAATGCATAAGCTCTTCTGGTCTCTGATCAATTAAGATGATAAAAATTAAATACATGTATTTGGCTTATTCTTACTATGTAAGTTCTCAGTAAGTCTTACCAGTATTTATTTCCTGTAGCCACTAGAGCCTTTGTATTATCTTGTAACCTAATGTCTACTGTACCGAACTTTGAAAACTCTCTGGCAAGCTAAAATGAGAGAGTAAAATGGTGGTGTCAAACAAGAGGCTGGAACTACATGTATAAGAAATTTATTCATATTTTTGTTAAGTTTTGTTCTTATGTACTGGAAAAATCCTTGTAATGAATACTTTTGATTTTGGTACCATAATGCATTTGACTGCATGCAGGCATATGTTTTTAGTTACCCTCTTTTGCTATCCCTTGGATTACAAGGCAAAATAATATCAATTTTCAAACAGAACTATAATTGTAACATATTGCTGATAGATTACCTTGTATGCATTCAATTGATAAGAGGAGGATTTTGATTGGACAAACACTAAAGGTCTCTGTGATTTAGATTCACTGCTCGCTAAATCCTACAGAATGGGAAAAAATCTTTTTAAAGTACCCAGTAATTTTACACATACAGTAGGTCAAAGGGTTGTATCTCCTAGAATGAATCAAACTAGAATTTATAATACATATAATCTAATTAGTGTGTAAAAAAAAAATGCTGATTTGAAAAGCAGTAAACCAGACTCAGCTAACATTATTTTCATGAATAGCAGCTTACACAAGCTACCAGGAACAAATGCAATACATGTATATGGAGTGATATTATGGTTATAATAAGGCAACTATTGTTATCCATCTTCAGAGAATGAATTTCAATACATAAATATACCAAAAATGTATGCATTCAGGATCAGATTTGTTTAATAGCAATTTTATAATTCATGTATCATAAATTCCAGGACCTCTTTAACACTTACTAGTTCATTGACACTAGCCCTGATTATGTTTACTTTGTTATGAAACCTCTTCATCACAGTCATATATCTTGTAAAGGTACAAGGAACAACCTCTGTAGACCTGAATGGAACCAAAAGTTAAACTGTAAATACACAGGAAATCAGCTACGTCAGTACATGTGATATCAACAATCATACAGTGAGTGTATTGGCACCACCTCTAAAACAATACTCTAAATTTACAGGAAGGAAATACCAGGTAATAAATTTGCAGAATAAGAGAATGAGGAAGTCGTTAAAAAAGAAAATACTTGTATATTCATAGGAATTTTCAAACATATAACAAATCAATTCAATGTTCAAATGTAGACTGCATCATACAATATACAGCAAAACACGCTTACATGTATAATGAAGTGCTAAGGACGAACAATTCTGCTTTGTTATAAAAGCAATTTGTTATATCCGATATGTTCAAAATATATTTCAAAGCCATGTTGAATGAAAATCACTGTGCTGTAAGCGTCAATTCATTATAAGTGTGTTTTACTGTACAAACATAGACTTCAAAGAACAAAGATACTTACGGTACACCATTAAAAGTCATTATATGACACAATCTTAGGAAACCTGAGAAACGGAAGAAAAGATATGCTTGAATTGTTTGTTATGTCACTATCAGCTATAATTCAAGTTAAAAATCTAATTTCTTAACAAAATGGTTTTTACTTTTATTCTATTTTAAACATTATAGAATGATAATAGCCAAATAAAACTTTGTAACTTTGTTATACTTACAGTAACCACACATATAAGCATCATATCCTGCCTCATGGGGAAGATATGTCTCATCTATAACAGAAACAAAAGTGCACAAACTACCTGCATGTGAAATCCTCTTAGTATCAAAAGATTTATTTAAAAACATTCAAAAATTTCTTGAAATCTATCAGGGCCACTTATTATAGCATACACAATATCTACAGTATCTGCATGGAAATCTAGTACCATTACTGTTGAGAAGGAATTCTTGCAACATTTTTGTTCACTGCTGAAGTTGTAAAATCTTATGCAATGTTGAACAGACATGAGACAAGAATTTCCTGATAGAATCTAAACATTTTATAATCGAGTTCCATGCCATAGAGGCATAATGCTTTGTCTCTCATCAATTTTTTTTTCATTACAGTTGAACATCAGTATCTTGAACACGGATATCTCAAATACAATGGATATATTTAAGCAATTGGAAATACCAAACACTTTTTCTTTAATTATTTTACCCTTAATATCTCGAATCCTTGGATATCTCATAGTTTTTTCATGATCCCATAGAATTCAAGCTAACAAGGATCGACTGTACTTCAAACATACACATCACTTACGATTATATCTCTCAAATTCCTCTCCATGTTCTATGACAGGTGAATGTATAACAAAGTGTTGGCCCTCTGGACTGAAAAACAAGACAAAGCCATTGAACATTTCCCAACATTGCCCAATCATGATGCTACTGATACTAGATACTAGAATTTATATCAAATGTGCTTCTGAGTATTTGTCATGACCTACTAAAGACACTTGATTTCACCTAAACCAAGTTTTAAATACTAATATGTGTGCATGTACATACATTTAGAAATACAGATGGGGCCATCATTAAAAATATCTTTGTTTCCCCTAACCCGACTCTAAATTCTCAAATTGGGTAGGTAGGTAGGTAAATAATTTTTTTTCTGACAACAGCTTTAAAACATACATTCTGAAATTTAATGGAATAATACCTTTATATAAGAAAAGTACAAAAGAAAGCGATTTAGAAACAGAATATCATACAAATGCCGTTTAAAAGCAATATTTAAGGTAAATTAATTCACAATTGTTATTCAGTTGAACTTGTGAAATATCTCAAGTCAGTGTAAATTTATTTAAGAGGCCATGTCAGTAAGCATTGAGCTTTCTATAAAAAAAGACAAGATTCTCAAATACGCAAAGACCGGACATCCGAGTATATTTTTTCAAACCTACTATCAGCTTCCAGTGCTTACACAAGCAATGTACTTTTTAGAAGGCCATGAGTTTTACAGTGTGGTTCTAGAGCATTTCATTTTGAAGTCCCGAAGTAAGGGGCTAATTCTAAGTCGCAGGTTCAAATCCCATTGAGAGACGTTGAGAACAGTCCTTCAAATGGGACTGTAAAAACTTAGGTCCAGTGTCACAGAATAGATGCTGGCACCAAAAAGATCCCTTAATGCTTAATGGCCAAAAGTGCCGAGTACTTCTAAATTTGGACCCTCCACTGGGGAAATGTTCAAAGTCGTAGTCCCAACAAATCTCAAAGGGATTTAAAGCAAAGAACAACCCATCTTCAAGGGCCTAATTAAAGAACCAGAAGTCTCTGATGAGACTGTAGCTCTACTGGTCTGTTTGTATAACAAAAGAAAAGTAGCACTTGGATTTGAAACATTGCAACATGCAACAATAAATAGAATTATGTATCTTAATGTAGTCTACTTTTGTGACAAGTTATTGAAATCAAATGAAAACTAGGAGTAGTAGCGTTTTGAAAGTATTTCACGGAAATTTCTATGTTTAGTACTGGTAACCATGACAACACCATTCACCCAAATAAAAAAAAAACAGAAATACATATTATGTATCATAGTGTATTCTAACTGTGTGCCAAATTAGATTGAAATCAGACCAAAATTGTAGGAGGAGTAACGTTTTAAAGGAATTTCACAGAAATTCCTATTTTTAGTAACCATGGCAACACCGTCCATCGAAATCAAAAACCGATGCACTAAATTATGTATCTTAGTGTAGTCTACTTGTGTGCCAAGTTATATTGAAATCGGACCAAAACTGTAGGAGGAGTAGCGTTTTAAAGAAATTTCACAGAAATTTCTATTTTTAGTAACCATGGGAACACCGTCCATCGAAATCAAAAAACCGATGCACTAAATTATGTATCTTAGTGTAGTCTACTTGTGTGCCAAGTTATATTGAAATCGGACCAAAACTGTAGGAGGAGTAGCGTTTTAAAGGAATTTCACAGAAATTTCTATTTTTAGTAACCATGGCAACACCATCTGTCGAAATCAAAAACCGATGCACTAAATTATGTATCTTAGTGTAGTCTACTTGTGTGCCAAGTTATATTGAATTCGGACCAAAACTGTAGGAGGAGTAGCGTTTTAAAGAAATTTCACAGAAATTTCTATTTTTAGTAACCGTGGCAACACCGTACATTGAAATCAAAAACCAATGCACTAAATTATGTATCTTAGTGTAGTCTACTTGTGTGCCAAGTTATATTGAATTCGGACCAAAACTGTAGGAGGAGTAGCGTTTTAAAGAAATTTCACAGAAATTTCTATTTTTAGTAACCATGGCAACACCGTCCATCGAAATCAAAAACCGATGCACTAAATTATGTATCTTAGTGTAGTCTACTTGTGTGCCAAGTTATATTGAAATCGGACCAAAACTGTAGGAGGAGTAGCGTTTTGAAAAATTGTTTACAGACAGACAGACAGACAGACAGACAGACGGACGGACGGACGACGGACACCTTACTATCGCATAAGCTCTTCTGGTCTCTGACCAGTAGAGCTAAAAATACACTGGACGTCTCAGGAAGCTGTATCATGATTTCAAAACTATTTGGAAAGAGTATATAAACACTATTTGATTGAACCAACCCATATCTAACCAGAAGTCTCTGATGAGACTGTAGCTCTACTGGTCTGTTTGTATAACAAAAGAAAAGTAGCACTTGGATTTGAAACATTGCAACATGCAACAATAAATAGAATTATGTATCTTAATGTAGTCTACTTTTGTGACAAGTTATATTGAAATCAAATGAAAACTAGGAGTAGTAGCGTTTTGAAAGTATTTCACGGAAATTTCTATTTTTAGTACCGGTAACCATGACAACACCATTCACCCAAATAAAAAAAACAGAAATACATATTATGTATCGTAGTGTATTCTAACTGTGTGCCAAATTAGATTGAAATCAGACCAAAATTGTAGGAGGAGTAACGTTTTAAAGGAATTTCACAGAAATTTCTATTTTTAGTAACCATGGCAACACTGTTCATCGAATTCAAAAACCAATGCAATAAATTATGTATCTTAGTATAGTCTTCTTGTATGCCTAATTATTTTAGAAGCAGACTAAAACTGTAGCAGGAGTAGTGTTTTAAAGGAATTTTACAGAAATTTCTATTTTTAGTAACCATGGCAACACCGTCCATCGAAATCAAAAACCGATGCTCTAAATTATGTATCTTAGTGTAGTCTACTTGTGTGCAAAGTTATATTGAAATCGGACCAAAACTGTAGGAGGAGTAGCGTTTTAAAGGAATTTCACAGAAATTTCTATTTTTAGTAACCATGGCAACACCGTCCATCGAAATCAAAAACCGATGCTCTAAATTATGTATCTTAGTGTAGTCTACTTGTGTGCCAAGTTATATTGAAATCGGACCAAAACTGTAGGAGGAGTAGCGTTTTAAAGGAATTTCACAGAAATTTCTATTTTTAGTAACCATGGCAACACCGTCCATCGAAATCAAAAACCGATGCTCTAAATTATGTATCTTAGTGTAGTCTACTTGTGTGCCAAGTTATATTGAAATTAGACCAAAACTGTAGGAGGAGTAGCGTTTTAAAGGAATTTCACAGAAATTTCTATTTTTAGTAACCATGGCAACACCGTCCATCGAAATCAAAAACCGATGCTCTAAATTATGTATCTTAGTGTAGTCTACTTGTGTGCCAAGTTATATTGAAATCGGACCAAAACTGTAGGAGGAGTAGCGTTTTAAAGGAATTTCACAGAAATTTCTATTTTTAGTAACCATGGCAACACCGTCCATCGAAATCAAAAACCGATGCACTAAATTATGTATCTTAGTTTAGTCTACTTGTGTGCCAAGTTATATTGAAATCGGACCAAAACTGTAGGAGGAGTAGCGTTTTAAAGGAATTTCACAGAAATTTCTATTTTTAGTAACCATGGCAACACCGTCCATCGAAATCAAAAACCGATGCACTAAATTATGTATCTTAGTGTAGTCTACTTGTGTGCAAAGTTATATTGAAATCGGACCAAAACTGTAGGAGGAGTAGCGTTTTGAAAAATTGTTTACAGACAGACGGACAGACAGACAGACAGACAGACAGACAGACAGACAGACGGACGGACGACGGACACCTTACTATCGCATAAGCTCTTCTGGTCTCTGACCAGTAGAGCTAAAAATGATACAATGCCATACACAATGTCATAATCACGAAGTTTAACCCATGAATAAAAGGCATGAAGAAAGGACGTCTGAAATAATTTCATCAGGGTGAAATATGCAGACATATAAATGATGAAATTGTTTTTTATAAAAGTTGGTAAACATTAAAAAAAATATTTGAATCATCTTATTTAAAAAATCTTTTAAGTCGGTGCGATTTCATTGGGTCGGTTGCATTAGGGGAAACAAAGGTATTTTTTATTTTGGCCTGGATATTTCACTTTGTAAGTAGTATAAAACTATAAGTAATATAAAACTTAATTTATATAAAACTATAAGTAATATAAAACTTAATTTATATAAAACTATAAGTAATATAAAACCAAATTTATATAAAACTAAAATGGAATGTTATACTTACCTGTTTAATACTTTGTATAGAAGTCCAAGAGATGAATTAAATTTCAAATCTAATTTCTGAAGAAGAAAAAAATATTCTGTTGACTAAAATGCAATTAAACCTGATATTGTTTCTTTATTTTTATTTTTTTTTTAATGTATGTAATCAGTTACATGTACCAGGTAATACATGTAAGACACCTGAGGTCATTGAGCATTCATCCATTTGATTTTGTATCAGACAAGGTAAAAAGGAACACTAGAGTAATATATATGTGCCAAGGTTGGTGACTAGACATATAATCATTCTAGAGTAAAGGAAAATGAGAAATTTTGCATCTAACACTCATGGAAACAGAGAGATGAGGGACAAATTTCAATTAAATGTTCATTTGTATCTTCTGCTCAAGTGAACTGTAAACACATTAATGTATAAATCACCTTAAAACTTCTCTTTTAAATGAAATATGACATTTCAGTCACCATTTCCCAACAAAAATGAAAATGGTTTTCTGTTTATTTTCTTAAATGACAATCGTTCTGGTTCAGCAATGGGATACATGTATCAGTAAATGGACTTTTAAATGCTTTTGAAAAATGTTTTTTTTTTTTTTTTAGTTGTTTAATGATATATAACATAAACTTTTTTCACAAATCAGCAATATTTCTCATAGATTTATATTCAAATAGGTATTACCCGAATAATATTTGCCAGGTAAAGTGGGAGAATTTTGATAGATTTTGTCACAATGTTAAAAATGTGTACAAAATTTTGTATAGAATTACATAGAAAACCACAAAAAGTCGCATATCTAAATACCAAAGAAAACTTACGATTTCTTTATATTTTAGGGATTTATTATTTAAGTCATTTCTCATCAAAATCAGTCCAAAAATATAATATTAATCAATCCATGCATCAAATTTTTGCTTGTGTTATGTATCCTCAACACTTCCCTCTATTTATCATTTTTTTAAGCTTTAGTTTTGAAAATCTCACTGACACTGTGAAATTGGAATATTGAGAGGCTTAAGTCTGATTCTTAAATTAGCAAGAATGCTCAAAACTTTGTTCAAGTGTCATAAGATGTATTAAATGCATACCATTCTTATCAGGTTAGTTGAAACATGTTTGGTGTCAATAATCAATGGAAACATCTTGTTAAGCTCTGTCTTGAAGTCTTTATAATGTGCTATAGGAGGAAAAAGGTACAATTTCAGTTTTAAAACAAGAGGCCCAAGGGCCTTAATGATCACCTGAATATAGTACAACCTTGTGAAGGATGCATGGAATGGTAAATTATTATATCAAAACAAAGAATTAACTGAAACTCATAAAGAAGAGAAATAGGATGGTCAGGTAACAACAAAATAGTTGGTCTGGTATTTAGCATATACTATATGATCGATAGAGCCCAGCCACCTGTCCCAAGGGCTACAAGACACCCAGAACTTTGGGCCATGAATTTCACATTCCTGGAGGAAGCACCCTTGCTCATCATATCTCTGCACATGTCTGCTTAATATACAGGGGGGAAAGAAGATATTTTTGAAGAATTTATGCATTTTTACCATATGATCAATAGAGCCCCAACCTAAGAATGTAACCCATGACCCTGGAGCCATGAATTTCATTATTCTGGTTAAAGACCAATTTTTTTTAATAATCATACCAACAGTTTGATGTCCTGGAAGAAAGAACAAGATATTTAAAGATTGTATTAATTTTAACTGTTTTTTAACACATCCCTCCTGCCCCTTGGGGGGATGAAATTCTTAATTTTTGTTCCATTTTACCCATAGATGTTATATACCAAATTTAGTCAAAAGTTCATGACTGATGCACAGCAACGAATGAAAACAAATTACAATATGTCACCTGAATGACTCAGGTGAGCTAATAATAATTGCACACAACATTTAATAGCTTAATATTGTATTAGTATTAGTATACATTAATCTATCCTCCAAAATACCTGGAAGTGGTTTGTGAAATTTATCATAAATCAGCAGCAGATCCATCAACATATTGTGTCCTAGCAGGGGCTGAAAAATAGCAAAGTAACATTTCACAGGAAAACATTTCAAGTAATGGGTTTCTAATTTTCTCCCTTTCCAGAAAAAAAATTATTTATGATTAATTAGTTATATACAACGTGGACAAGAAATATACATGTAATATAACCATTTTAGTGATGACAGGAAGTCATAAAATAGTTTTCCCAACCTTCTTATGTTCTAGTAAGACCAGAAACAACCTCCTGAATCCAAGCAGACTATTGGAAAGTCTAGAAGGAATAAAGAAAAAAAGTACATAAGCCAAAATAAAATATACAGAATTCAAACTTTTTTTTAGACATTGAATCCATATTGAAAGTTTCATGCTCTATTTTGTGTCAAAGTGGTCTTAAAATTATTATATTGTAAAGTATTGTCTAGCTGTTTTGATATCTTCCAATCGCATCATTTTGGGCCTTTCCGTCAGAGGTCAGAAAAAAAACCTCGAATGTATTAACATCCCTGGATGTTAAAAAATTTATGCAAGATGGAGTCACTTCCTATTTATTAAAGAGTTACAAGGTACTCCTGTAGTATATTTAAGGTAATATCTTTAAATTCAATAAAGTTGAGCTCCAGATAAGAGGTCTCCCTTCATTTATTTAAAAGTTTATGAAAAGGGGGGTTGTCAAGGATGCCTACATAACACAATCGAGGTTGTTTTTCCGCTTGTCAGCCCGAGAAGTTTCGATTGTGATGTCTTCCTGGCAAATATTCACATTTTAAATTTTCAAGAAACCTTACATAAAAATATTCATAAAAAAAAAAAATCCAACTCCTTTATGAGTTCACATTTAGGTCACACATCAGCAGATCTAGACACATTTTAATATACTTTACTGATATAATATCAATACATTTTATAGCCAATCAATTCATTAAGAAACTGTTTATGAATGTAGTCATATCAAAGGTAAATTTTATGGTTCCTTAAACTCTCTTCTTTTTACAAATGAAAGGGCAAAACTTTCTAAATTTGAAATAAATTCTATGAAAGCTTTTTAAATTGATCAGTACAATATTTAATATGGTTACATAGAGATTTACAAGAATTTCAAACTCCTTAGACATAGGCAGAACCATCTGCTTGTGACTTACTCTGAACTCTCTGATTTCTCTAAAGTCATCTTTTGTTCCTTTTCCTCTGGTGTAACTTTTGTTACCACAAGCTTTAAAATAAGTGGAATATGTGTTACATAGAAAAAGCTATGAGGGGAAAGAGAACATAGCATCAATATTATAAAAAGGATATTATCAGAAGACAGGGTTTATTGAATGCTAATGCCCCCACTCCCTTTTGGAAAATGATTTTTAAAACATTTCTCTTATAATTGTTTTTGGAACAAACTAAGCTTATTATTCAACTGTTTAAGTTCTCCAAGATATTGTTTGCTTAATTAAAAAAAAAATGGTGAGTTCCACAATGCACCAGAACCCACAAAAATGGTACCCAATAATAAAACTTTTTCTGGCTTTGGGAGGGAGCAACCCTCCCAGACCCCCCCCCCCCCCTCCCCGCCAAAAAAAAAACCTGGTGGTGGCCCTTTATAAAGACCTACTGAATCATGATGCCATGTTACAGTATAATACAATGTCAAGGAGAAATCTAAGATTTTCTAAGAGAGAGAGAGATAGAGAGAAAGAGTAAATCTATGTATAATTACATTTTTATCACCATCTGTTGATGTCCAGATGTCCTTGAATCTACTGCGGAGCTCATTTTGGAAAACATAGTTGTATTTAATCTTTCTTGCGCCTAGATAAGAAACAATCATCTTCATGTTAAGAATCATAATACATGTAACATACTTGCTTTTGGAAAAAGTAATAGCTTGGAGCAGTATTATATAAAAATCTTTATACTGTATCTGCCCCCCTCCCCCCATAAGTGGGCAAATTTAAAACTTGGCTACAATGAATTAGACACAGAGTTCTTGAACATTTTTGAAAATATGTATTTGGAAAGCCATCAGTAACATTCATTTTTATATACATGAACATGTATTTGTTATGCCTCCAACCTTTGATTTACATACCATAATCCAAATTAGGAAGATTAATATGCCTATCAATTAATATACATGTAATTCACTTTTTCCCATACATGTATTTAAAAAATTCTACTTTCTTCACTTTCCCTTTCAAAAATTCAATGAACTCTAATGAATCTTCAAAAGGCTTGAATGAGATAAAAATAATTTACGTAAAAAAAAATACCATCATATTTCAGAATAGTGTGTGAATCCCCAACCTCAGCTTTTGTGTGCCACTCAGCTACCTCAGAGCAAACATCCTGTACAAGGTTTTCATCAATGTCCCTGGAAACAGTGTGTATATACTATACTATATTCTAAAAGTTAATTTACACAATTCAATTCCCAAATCATAAAGTTTATAGCTACTAGCTAGGGTACATGTCATGAGCTTTGTGCATCTTGCCCCATTCATCCTTTTCAGTTATCTGTCAAATTATATTTTTAAAAAGACTTTGAAAATTTCATTGATTTTTTGTTAATGGTCACAGTGCAGAATGACCTTGTTTAACATCTGGTCTGAAAAAATATCAATGTCTTTGATGTCTCTGCAATGTTTCATGGTTTTCTTAATGAATTTTTTTATTTTCGTTTTTTATTCATTTCTTTTTTTGCCTTTTGAAATTGAAATAAAATATAAAAAGTGTATTGATCAAGCAAATACAGAATACTACGTCGTTTTGGGGGGTTAGTTTTCTTGTGTATATGAATAGAGTTTTCTTGTGTATATGAATAAATTTTACTTGAAAAAAAGTCAGTAAAATGTGTATTTTGATACAGTTAACCAGTAAATCAGTCGGAACATCTTCCAGTTAACCTATTAGCAAATCTGTATTTGATTGCCACCCCTATTAAATTATAAGCTAGGTTTCTTTTAGAAGATAATTATCCTTAAAGCAAACTTCTATATGAATGAACAGAGGGATGCAACACCTTAATAGACATCTTGTTTTCATATGGTTTACAAGCTACAGTGTATATGGTTTTGATCTTATTTCAGGTAAAGTCTGTGTTAACTGGCATAAGCTTGGGTCCTCAATTTACATTAAGGAGGAAACTCCTTACCTCTCCACTCCTGCAGTTATCTCCCTTCTCTTCAAGAATGCTTTGAGTTGTTTTTCTTGATCTTCATTCATAAATGATATGCCCTCATACACATACTTTATTAAAAAAAACTGTATTTAATACCTGAGAAATAATAGGATGCAGCTTTATTTGACATATAAAATAAAACATATGTATTTAAAAAAAGAAGTACCTCACCTTGTTAAAATCAAAATCATACCGTCTTTGGAATTCAAAACTTGATGCCTGAACCAAAAAAAGATAATATTTTCTAATGTACATGAATACTGATTCATACTTGATACAAATAAAGCACCTTAAAAAAATTTATGCATACAAGTACATACACTGCTTTTTTTTATTTATACAGTTACAAACATCACTTTTCTACTGAAATCAGAGTTTGTAAAATAAATGCAAATAATCTGCCAATTATATTATTATATGCAAGAAAAGACAATATATATAATTATATATATATATATATATATATATATATATATATATATATATATATATATATATATATATATATATATATATATATATATATATATATATATATATAGTGATTAACCATTGAGGTGTCTGATCACTTACCTGAACCATGAATCTGACATCAACAGGACCATAGGCAGCTGGAAACAGGTACATATTGTAAGTGTGGGCCACATACCTAGTCAATGGATAAAAACATCATACAAATATTTCTTATACAACATACCTAGTCAATGGATAAAAACATTGAAAAATATTTCTTACGGTTGTACTGTATGTACTTGTAAATATATATGTGTTAGGCTATCAACAAAATACAACTCTGTACACTGATTTACTTATAACTCCCACCTGTCATTTTTCTTTAAAAATGCTGAGATTCCTAAAAAGAAACCAAAATCATTTTTACTTAAATACTCAGAACACTATAAAACATGTACATTATAAAGTAGTAATGAGGGATAAGAACTGAACTTGTACCTATCTGACTGATTGTAAACTGTTTGGTACTCTCCCGAAGTTTGTTGTAACGATCCTCAATCGAGTCAAACAAGCTGAAAATCATCAATATTACAATATTAAATTAAGACAAATATTCTTTGTATTGATAAAAAAAAATCAAAATGACTTCAAAAGATTACTTTATAATTATTCTTATAGTAAAGAATAAAAAAACAAGAAGTCTGTGAGCCACTGCTCACTAATAATACCCCGCTCTGATGTGAATACACAAGTTCGGTATGGACAAATACAGTGATAATCAGGAAATTGACATCAGATTTGTTCCAAACGGATTTGTAAAAACTGAATCCCAACATATGGCATGCCTAAACAAAGATTGTGCTAAAATGTCAAGCATCTGCGATGAGTAAACAGAGAAAACTACGACCAATATTTGCTATGTATGGTACAGACAGACGCACGGATAAACCAGAAGCTGACATCGGATATGTACAAAAATGAATCCCACCATATGGCATGCCTAAAAAAAGAGTGTGTTAAAATTTCAAGCACCTGTGATGAGTAGTTGCTGAGAAAACTGCGACCAAAGTTTGTTATGTGTGGTACAGACAGACGCACGGATAAACAGGAAGTTGACATCGGATTAGTACAAAAATGAATCCCACCATATGGCATGCCTAAACAAAGACTGTGCTAATATTTCAAGCATCTGCGATGAGTAGTTGCTGAGAAAACCACAACCAAAATTTTTTATGTATGGTACGGACAGACGCATGGATAAACAGGAAGTTGACATCGGATTCGTACAAAAATGAATCCCATCATATGGCATGCCTAAACAAAGATTGTGCTAAAATTTCAAGCATCTGCAATGAGTAGTTCCTGAGAAAACTGCCACCAAAATTTGTTACGGACAGACAGACACACAGACAGACAGACAGACAGACGGATGGACAGACAGACAGACACACAAGTGTAAATCAGTATACCCCTCTCTCCTTCGGAGTGGGGGTATAAATATGTTCAAATCAAATGAATATTACATGTATAAGAAAAACATAGCTAATCAAAGGTTATGAAGCTCACTTCAATGAATGTTATCTATAGTAAAGCAAATCTCACACCAAATTTTTTCTAGTTAGTGCGAATCCTAAGATCAATATCCATGTGGGTCTGGTTTAAGTTGGACCTAAAGTAACTTGGGAATGGACCTGCTCCAAAAACTATGACCTGTTCCAGAAAATGTAGGCCAGATCCAGCATCCACCACACGTCTGAGTGTCCATTCCTATATACATATATGCATCATCCATGCAAGTTTAATCATAACAGGCCATATAGTTACAAAGCTACTCCAAAAACTTTAACCTGGTCACTCATCTAGAAAATATAGGTCAGATTCAGGATCCAAAGCAAGCCTGGTATTGTGCATCCTTAGATACATCATTGGTCCAGGTGGGGCTTATAGTTACTTTAATAGGAATAAACTTGCTCTAAAAACTTTTAACCTGGTCGATCATCTTGAAAATTTAAACCAGATTCAGCATCCGAAACAAGTCTGGCAGCGTCCATCCATAGATGCATCATCCATGCAAGATAGGTCTAGGTATGGCTTACAGTTACTTGGAAATGACTTGCTCCAAAAATTTTAACCTGGTCAATTATCTGGAAAATGTAGGTCAGATCCAGCATCTAAAGCAAGTCTGACAGTGTCCATTTCTATATGCATCATCCATGCAAGTTTGGTACAAGTAGGCCTTATAGATACTTGGGAATGGACCTTGCTCCTAAAACTTCAACCAGGATGCCAACGCCGATGCCGGGGTATGGCAAAAGCTATCTCGACTTCACTGAGGTGAGCTAAAAATCACTGATAAATAAAGTACCTTACTGAAGCTACTTGCTTTTATGCAATGTACTTCATACGTTTATATGATATAATAGTCCAATCCACACTTTGCAAAAGTTGTGTCCATTTGCGGGGTCAACAAAAAGGTCAAAAGGGAAAGAAACAACATTTCTCCTCTTTATACTGCCAAACATTTGGGCATGCTCCAATGAATCCACTTTGTTTAAATTCTTTTCTTTCAAAGTATGGGTAGCCCCATCCTCGGGCATTCAATTTACAAGAAGCAAATATTTTCTCCAGTCAAACGATAAAGTTACAAACCAGAAAACTACAAAGGCTACCAGAACTATGAGGATTCTATGGATTTTCCCCCAAAGATGGTGGCCAAAGGACATAACTTTTGAAAAGTGTGGCTTCAACTATTTAATATAATCAAAATACCAGTATATGAAATAAATTTATACCTATTCTTCGTTTCACCGCCCAAATTTAATCCTGTAAACTCTGTATCTATAGCTGAAAAAAAGATCAGACATGTTTGATGAGAAGAAATCCAAATTAGAAAATTTGATTCTGCAGTTGTTTAATTGAAGTATGATAATTTCAACATGAAATCACAAGTTCTACAATGTTTAAAAATCAAAAATTTATTGCCAGAGCTGAAATTATTTTGTCAGTGACTGTATGAAATGTAGACTACAATGAAAGGGGTGATTTGTGTACCGTATATACTCGCCTATAAGTCGGTCCGCCTATAAGTCGGTTCTATTTTTTAAGCTTCAATTAGAGGGATTGACCGGCTTAAATACCATTCTTTTTTATAACTCGCGTATAAGTCGGATAACGAGTTTTGGAGCCAAGTTTAACTCCCAAAAAACCGACTTATAGGCGAGTATATACGGTATTTTGATACATGACACAAACATCTGAGAGAAAAATCAAACAATCAAAACTGTTTATTGTATGACACTACATTAAAATAAGTTTCGAACTAAATTTATGCACTTCATGAAATACGCTGGCGTGAAGCGTTGTAGTTCATGTCTTCATGAATATTTAAAAAATTAAATTCATTCTGCAACAGTCGGGAGTTCAGGAATCAAGAATTCTGTAGTTAAGTATATTATATGTACATAACAATGTTGATATATTTATGTAATGATGTACAAATTCATCTTAACATATGTGCCTGAAAAGTATGGAGCAATTCTGTTCAGAGGTTTGAAGAATATATCTGATATATGATATGATATGATTCATGTAGATTTACTGCCTAATTTTCTGTTGCTTGCCATCAATAATGTAATGATCGATGTAGTACACTTTCATAGTCAAATTATATGTCATGCTTGGAAAATCTTAGAAAATATATAATGACAACTCCTTTCAGGGCTTTCAAAAAGATTAGAAACAGGTGGTACTTCTACAAAAGGAGGAGGTACCTTGTGGAAGTGATTTTAATTATGTATGTTATTGAATTTTTCTCAATTGAATATTTTGGCCGGTACATTCATGATTTCAGCTGGCTTAAAGTATAGGCTACTGGAAGTTTTTTTGTGATTGACAGCAATGGTCGAAATTAACATTGTAGAATTTTGTAGACTTTGATAAATTGTGTCATACCTGATTGTTTTAAGTTGTGTGTCTCAAATCTGTCTAAAACTGGTTTGGAATTGATAAAACTGAAGTGTTAAATGATATTTCTTTGAAAACAACTTAATTTGATATTTTTATTTTAATTAAAATGAGTTGGAAATGCTCATATGGGACAGACCATCCCATTTTCTATTTCAATGGACAACTCATCTACAAAATCATATATGGCACCACTGCCTTTATTACCAACTATCTGCATAGACAGTGTTTAGACATTGCTCACCCAATGGAAAAGACATTTCACACAGTCTAGAAATTGTTGTATGGAAAATTTGGAATTAAATACATTGAGTTATTATTTTACTTTGGGGCTAAATATTTATTAAATAAATAAGAAATCCTACATAGTGTTATATTCAATGTAATTTGGAATTACATGAATGGATCTTCGGTGTCCAACCCCCCAACCCCCCCCTCCCAACCCCCCATCCCTTTCCCCTGGAATTTCAGAGTTATTAAATTTCTACGTAAAATTTAAAGGAATAGATAGTTTTCATATGACGTATTTTCTCTCCGGGTTATTTCCCTTGGCCGCCATCTTGGGGGTCAACCTGGTAGTTTTTCCTCTTTGTCTTACCAAATCTAAGAGGATGTAGCAGAAATATTTGGGGGAGAATCTTTATAGAATAAAAATAATGAAATAAAGGAGGCTTTAACAAATGTATATTTTTCAGAAAAACAATGCTTCCTACCCCACAATAGCCAGTATAAAAGGTTAAAGTTGGTTGAATAATGAAGTAATATGAGCATGTTGCCCCCTAATATGGCGGCCAACGGGAAATAACTCTTGCTAATTTGGGTCTACTGAAAACTATCTATAAAAAAACTGACCTTAGACCCCCTGGGAAACAGACCCTACTTAAAATTGTAAAAAGAAGCATCTATCTGAGAAATTTTATTTAAAGTGTCTTCTAAACCCCCCCCCCCTCCCCCTCTCTGAAATAGGATCTTCATGTTAGGCAAGATGTTAAGTTTTTTTTTTTTTGCTTACTTGTAAAAGAATGTAAAAGACTGACATATGTTAGTTGATGCAGAACACCCCCCTCCCCCGAAAAAATCCTGGATCCGCCCCTGAATTAGATGCCTTCAGTTATTATTTTACTTTAGGGGTATACACTATATTACATAAACAAGGGGCAAAGGGTTTTTTTTTTAAACCAATTCTGTGATTCTGTCATACAACTTTGCACAACAGCCAGAAAGATGTATACAACGGACCACTGATTTGAAAATGAAAAGATCTTAAGAACCTCATTTGCCTAAAACAAAGTTTTTGATCGTACAAGCTTGAAGCCGATAAAAATCTGCACTACATCCAATGACTTGGCTACGTTCGAATTTCCTTGGTTAATCACTGTTAATTATACGCTGTTGTCATTTTGTAAACATTCCCACTGAATATATTTAAAAAATATAAATTAAGTCTTACCAATAAATTCAGATTTAGATATTGATTCACTTATTTTAGGTAAATATTCTTCAAAGTTGTGCTTATTAACCTCCATGCTTCCTTCACTGCCTTCGAGTGATCTCCCCCTTGCTACATTTTGCCATAAGCTGTTGAATCGAAAGTTTTGATTGGGTTTTCTAGAAAAAATAAACCAATCACACATCTTGAAATAAAATCGCTCAGAAATACCAGATTGTTTAACAATGGCGGAAAATATGAGCAAACTTTACAGTGCGATGTGAAATTTTACATGATATTGGGTATCTTGTGTAAATCTGATGCAATGTCTTCTCTTATTCTGTTTTTCTTAACAATTCTTTTTGGGAAATCATATAGTCAAGGTAATTCTTCAAATTTTATATGCACAAATGATTCTATTTTCAAGTTGTAGCATGCTTACACCAATGTATTTTGACAATTGGAATCTTCTAGCTACAAAATATGAACAGCATAATCTTATTCTACAAAACACAGATGTTTTTCTGTTTAACAGAGCTATTTAAAAATGAGTCCACCATGACCATGTGAATAAATTTTGTATTTATGCCCTCGGTTTCTGAGAACGTTAGGCCTACAATATAACTGTGCTGAAATATGAAATGTCATTAAATCAATAGACAAGGATAAGATTAACCTCGAAGTTGAAAAAAAAGTAAATCTAATATTGAAGTGTAAACTAAAACCTCAGTAAAACAAGTCATTTATAAATTGGTTTTCATAAATCACAATACAAGAGTTATTACATCAAATCCTCATAAATACATATAGGAATGCTATGTATTGTAAGACATTTTGAATATAATCAGAGACCTATATACTAGTATATAAGTCCCTGATATTATTGAAAATATTTCATTAATTGTCATTAAATAAGTCATGCAGCAATTAATTAAAGGACCATGTTACTTTTGTTGAAGAATATCACCTCTTGCAACTTTTATTTGACCTGTTAGAGGTAAAAGTTTTAGAAACATTTTTTTTTTTTGATAAATGATATAATGATCCTCCTACATTGCATTTCATTTTATTCTATGTAGGCTACAGGTGTAGAGATTCTCAAAGTTTCAGGTACCTTCATGCGGAGTTCTCAATTAGTCACTGTCGACATCACGTGACATCAATTGTGTATAAATACTGAGACTCCGCAGTCGTCTGTTGTTGTTCTTCAGATGCAGCCAAGGATAGAAGATGAGTGTAGTGAATAAAGTATTCACGTTTAATATTCCTCACCTGTTTTACAGTTAGAGAGATAATTTAAGGCCTGCCACAAACCAGGTTGACCTCTAGTATAGAGGCTAGCCATAGTTTGTTTTGTCTCATCTGCATTGGCTGACTAGTCCATCCAGGCTGCTATATTCATTGTCCGTCCTGAATAAGGCATCGTACAGTATATGCGATAATATGAGGGTGACGGGGCTCTTGTGTTAGGTTAGAACTACCAGTTTATTGTTGCATGCCTCTGATTATTCTAGTGATTTACTATTTGATTATCATTTATCAAATTATGTAGATAAGGTTAGGACATATTTGTATATTTCGACAGTCCACTAGAATTACACCAATTAGTTTTAATCAGCTACTATATTGAACACCTCAAACCCTGGAATTGACCAGGTAAGATCCCAGTGTTTTATGTAAATATGTAACATTACACAGGTATGTTTTGAAAACCAGCATTTATATTTTTAATTACATAAGGCCAAACAAAAAAATATGTGTGGTTCCAGTTACACTTCCAAAAAAATTAGGGTAGGTAGGTAGGGATTTTTTTTTTTTTTTTTTAACAAAATGATTTTCTTAATTTTTTCTAAATAATACCTATCACTGTTTTGCAAATGGCATTTAGATGTGATGTGATAATATACTAGTCAATATTGGTAGGGGACACCTACATGCTAGCTTGCTTTGGATTTAACACTATTAAACACTTGCACTATGTTTTGTAAGGAGGCCGTCATTGCTGAAACTAAAACTTAAACTGGAGCCATTGATAGAAATCGGGGGAAATTCCGGAAAAAATATGAAAATTGCCAAAAAAAAAGTTTAGGGTCGGGGGTATAAAATAGGGATGGTCGGGTAACCGGAACCACACATATTTTTTTATTTGGCCTAAGGTTTGTGTATCATTCAGAAAATGGCATCTGAATTTTTTTTTGCAGAGATGGAACAGTACATGATGTTTTGCATGTTATTTTAACAAAATATTAAAAGTTAACACTATAAATTAAATGACAACAGTTTTTGAAGTATGAACTGTATTACATTCATTTGCCTAAAAGTTCAAGAGTGCAAAATATTTCTACATAATTTACAGGTATGCACATATAAGAAAGTCAATTTAAAATTCTCCTGTGTGTGCATCTTGCTGTCTTTAGTACTAATTAACCTGGGCTCCACAACAGCCCCCTGATGTAACTTATTTTTTACTCATAATGTTATATTTGCTATGTTTCATATATATTAACTTATATCATGTATATGATATTAAGTTATCTAACCTTTTGTGCTTTATTATTTCAAGGTTGTGTAGTAGTCATCTTATTAATATATTATTTGTTTTATTTTTTCATTGAAGTTTAGTTAGATAAATGAATATATATACATGTATCATAAAAGGATTTCATGTATGTTGCATATGCTGTAATTTTGGACAGTAAAGTTAATTTTAACAAAATATTTTCAGGTACCGGGAGAGTGTTTATTGGAGTTCCAAATAATTCATCATTTCCAACTTTTACTGTAACTAACAGTGTAGCTGGTGGAGTGACTGTCAATGTTCCAGTTTACATTGATGCTGTGAATAATACAGTTAGTGAGAATATCAATGGCAATGTAAGTATATAACGTTAATCTTATCCTGATCGTCTGTGTGCTGGTTTGCATGTATACCATTACCAGGGAGCCATCCTTTGATGCTTGTCCTATGACCAATGTTAGATCTGTTCCTTTGTCAATCCTCTCTCTCATTCAATTCCTTTTAAGTGGACCATTTCCATGTTTCTTTAGTTTTTAGCTCACCTGAGCTGAAGGCTCAAGTGAGCTTTTCTGATCAAAGAGTGTCCGTCTGTAAACTTTTTGCATTTTCGACTTTTTCTCAAGAACCACTTGGCCAATTTCAACCAAACTTGCCACAAAGCATCCTTGGGTGAAAGGAATTCAAGTTTGTTCACAAGAAGTGCCAAATCCTGTTTCAAGGGGAAATAATTAAGAATTCATGAAAATTTGGTGGCATCTTTCAAAATCTTCTTCTCAAGAACCACTGGGCAAGTAAAGATGAAACCTATGTGAAAGCTTCATTACATACTCTTGATTCAAGTTTGTCCATTTCATAACCCCCGAGCGGTAGGGCACTGCCACAAGAGGGGGTTGAAGTTTTACATAGGAATATACATGTATAGGAAAGGTCTTTAAAAATCTTCTTCTTGAGAACGGCAAAGCCATGATTAGTCATTTTATAATAGAAGTATCCTCATGTAGTGTAGATTCAAGTCTGTTCCAATTATGACCCCTGGGGTAGGGCAGGGCCACGACAGCTTGTTTTGTTTTCAAAATATTTAGAGTAAGACTTAGTAAAGAATGACCAAAATATACAAACTATGAACAAGTAAGAATCTGAATTTAATGTCATAAAAATTACTTCTGTCCATTGATACTTAAAAGTAATTGCAACAGTTATTCCCCCTATTGCAGACATTATTTGCTCTTGATCTTCTAGCTTTAATTTGGATAATATAATAACTTTACTGTACAAAACAGGAACATTTTTTTTTACAAAGCCTAAAATGAATTTAAAAAAAAAATACAATTTAAATTCCATATTGATGTATTTAAATGATTTATCTCAAGATGAATTTATTTTCATCTGTTTGGAAAACAGAATTCTTTATTTTTGTATATATTCTTTTAATTTTGACAGGTTGATGTCACTTGTGAGATGCGGGTCACAACAAGCGGCTACAGCAGTGCAGCATTCTCAACCAGACGTCTGTCAGATACAACACGCAGTGGAACTGTTCAAATGAGGTGTTCATTTAAGAATTTACTAGGATATTTATGAAAGATATCATTTTCTAGTAAGGCGGGGAGAAATCAAATAAAGAAACTTTGACTTCGAACAAATATTATTAATGAAAAATTGAAATATTTGCTGATTTTAATTTTACAAGATATAGTAGATTCAAGAATATTTTTCCTTCACTGTTGTAATTTATTAGTTATACTTTTAAAAGTTAAATAAAAATGCAGGAACTTAATTTTTTTTAAAGCCATTTATAGGTGAAATGTGTTCTTTAGAATTGGAGGAATAATTTTCTGGTACTATTTTCCCCCCCAGTAATTTACAAACTGGAAGGGTTGCAGGATTTCAATGTTTTGGAGAATCTGTCACAGCTGGAGTGAATCAGTTTACACGAGCAGGCTCAAGGAGTAGGGAATCGTAAGTTTATAAATATGTAATTTTATAAAACATACTGCTCAGCAGAATTTCAAAATCACTGTATACATTTATTTACCAGTTTTTGGAATCAGATTTTGATTTTTGATTTTCAAGTGGATGATTGCTTTGAAACAAAAAAATTTAAAACTCTCCCATAATACATAAAATCTTAAAAGAATTTTGTTTGCAGAGCTGACGATCACTTTCCTCAATAGGGAAAATATGACTGAGTGTTTTAAATATACATTGTATGATATTTTGAATATTCAGGTCTCTTACTGTAATTAGTCCCCCCACAATAAGCATCTGTGCAGAGGATACCATAAAAGTCCTAAACACAAATACTGCCCAACAGAGTTTTACAGTGGAATTCAGGTGAGTTGGAAAACAGTACCTCACTTATTCAGTTGAACTATTATTGACTGTAAATTTCAATTAAAAGCAAATACTTTTTAAATGAATTAAGAACACTTTGTTGTGGGGTTAATTCTAAAATACTTGTATATACAATGGATGTTTGGAAATTATTTAGACATTCATTTTAACTCGAGAGAAGAAAGAGATCAATTCACGAAAGTTCACCAGAATTTTGTCAAGAACAAAGAATACAAATATGCAAAATCTCTTGTTCATAGCATAATTATATAAATCCTGAGGCCTGTTCAACAGAGCGAACGTTCGCAAGCGCTCGCCTAAATTCCTTATCCTTTCAACAGAAATGTTGGCGAGCACTCGCGAACGTTCACGCTATTGAACAGGCCTCTGGTGCAATTCTAAACTTGCATATGTCCACTGACCCGGAGCACTCCAAAGAGATAATCACAACATCATTTTTCTTTCCTTCAGGCTTCAGCATCAGTTTGTTTTCTCACATTGGAATGATGAAAAAAGCATCAACTGTTCTTTTTCTGTCAACACTTGATAAAGTTCTATCTCTCCATTTTTTTTATCTCCCTCTACAAACTTGTGAACTGTTGCTTCCTCAATGTCTAATATCCATGAAATATCTTTCCCAGTTGGACATGCATCATATGGTATAAACTTTAGGACTAGTGACATCAATTTGTTCGTAATAATTGATGGTCATTTCAATACATGATTTTGAGACTGCGCTGGGTACCCTTACCATCGATACATTTATAGGTCATTTAAAAGAAAAATCAAATTTAAATATTGCAGGTGTTTGTTAAATGTACTTTTACACCAAATAACATTGATTAAGAAGGAATATAATCAGAATGTCACAATAATTTCCGAATAGCCCTCATATACAGTATGCAATATATTTATATAAATAGATACTCAATATTTGAATAGGAAAATCCTCTTGTCTTTCTGCAATTTCAAATAAGGCTTTAAGATTCAAAGTCCCTTTGATTAGAGAGATAACTGTCTCTGGGATACTGAGTTAAATGATTATTATTCCTTTATAAATTTGTCGAGTTACAAGGCCATTTCTGTCAAATTTTGCATTGTTAAAGTGTGTTGCATTTTTTTTTTTGCATTTTTATCATAAATTTGATCATTAATATTAAAACAAAGTATTTTATATGAGTGAACAGAGGGCTAATGAACCTTAAAAAGCAAAATGATATTTCATAAAGAAAAGAAAAACAGTATACCACTATTGAAATGTACAACTGTTAATTTCAGTGACCAAGTGACCACTGCAGTAACTGTGAGCTGTACTAGAGGTATTTCATATTGCATTACAGTATACACTTTCATAGTTGCTTTAAACTTATTGTATTTTGCATTTGGTGCTGTTTTTATGTTGCCTGCAGAGAATGATTGGCACAAAGGGGTCAATTTGTCTGCTGTCTGTATGGCAGAATTGTTTACTATTATGGAAATTCTATACTTATCCCATATTTTAGTTTCAAAATACAGATTACGGATTGGATGTACCTACAGAAATCAAGCTTTCCAGTTATACTGGTACTCCAAATTTTATTTTTATTCTGTGTCAAATATATACTTGAGCAATGATAAGTCTTCAAAGATACTGATGATAAGAACTTAAATGATCATATATCCAACTGTGTATTACTCTAGTTTTACTGTTGATTTTATGCAATCATGTCACAGTGTGATCCGGCTTTCCGGATCACCAAACTGGTTTTCTGAATCCATATCACCCCTCTCTGAAACTGATGACGAAGCTAGTACACGGTATAAATGATATAATTTTGTTAAGTATCAAAAAGTTCCTTGAAAAAGTGAACATTTAAAAACCTGATTTCTTTTAGTCCCATGAGATGACTTTAAATATAATCACTATAATTTTCACCATTTTCCAATACCGTATAAGTGGAATTTTTAGCTGGATGCAAGTTTAGCGAATCAGCGATCTTAAAAATTGGTAAAATTATTTTAGCAGAAGAAATTTTGGCTTTTTAGCTCACCTCAACGAAGTTGGGGAGCTTATGTAATACCCTCGGTGTCGGCGTCGGCGTCCCAGGTTAAGGTTTTTGGAGTAGTTTTCTTTTCAAGTACTTCTATGGCCTATATTAGTCAGAGATGCATGGAGGATGCTTCTAGTGTGTTTTTTTGTACCAGTCAAGGTTTCAGATGCTGCAATTTCAGCTAAAGAATGACCAGGTTAATGTTTTTGGAGCAGGTTAAAGTTTTTGGAGCAGGTTAAAGTTTTTGGAGCAGTCTCATTTCCAAGTAACTATAAGCCCTATATTGACCAGACTTGCATGGATGATACATCTAAGGATGCACACTACTGAACTTGCTTCAGATGCTGGATCTGACCTACATTTTCCGGTGAGTGACAAGGTTAAAGTTTTTGGAGTAGATCTCATTTCCAAGTAACTATAAGCCTTATATTGACCAAACTTGCATGGATGATACATCTAAGGATGCACACTACTGGACTTGCTTCGGATGCTGAATCTGACCTATATTTTCCGGATGAGTGACCAGGTTAAAGTTTTTAGAGCAGATCTCATTTCCAAGTAACTATAAGCCCTATATTGACCAAACTTGCATGGATGATACATCTAAGGATTCACACTACTGGACTTGCTTCGGATGCTGAATCTGACCTATATTTTATGGATGAGTGACCAGGTTAAAGTTTTTGGAGCAGATGTCATTTCCAAGAATCTATAAACCCTATATTGACCAAACGTGCATGGATGATACATCTAAGGATGTACTCTACTGGACTTGCTTCGGATGCTGGATCTGACCTAACTTTTCCGGATGAGTGACCAGGTTAAAGTTTTTGGAGCAGATGTCATTTCCAAGTAACTATAAACCCTATATTGACCAAACTTGCATGGATGACATATCTAAGGATGCACACTACTGGACTTGCTTCGGATGCTGCTGGATCTGACCTAATTTTTTGGGATGAGTGACCAGGTTAAAGTTTTTGGAGCAGATGTTATTTCCAAGTAACTATAAGCCCTATATTGACTAAACTTGTATGGATGATACATCTAAGGATGCACACTACTGGACTTGCTTCGGATGAATGATTTGACTTACATTTTCCGGATGAGTAACCAGGTTAAAGTTTTTGGAGCAGATGTCATTTCCAAGTAACTATAAACCCTTTATTGACCAAACTTGCATGGATGATACATCTAAGGATTCACACTACTGGACTTGCTTCGGATGCTGGATCTGACCTACATTTTCCGGATGAGTAACCAGGTTAAAGTTTTTGGAGCAGATCTCATTTCCAAGTAACTATAAGGCCTATCTGAACCAAACTTGCATGGATGATGTATCAAGGGATGAACAATCATAAAACTTGCTTCGGATGCTGGATTTGACTTACATTTTCCGGATGAGTGACTAGTTTTAAGTTTTCAGATAAGTCTATTCCCAAGTAACTGCAAGCCCTATCAGACCAAAATTGCATAAATGTTGCATCTAGGGATGCACACTCCTAGATTATTAGTTTAGTGTGGGACTTTGCCTTACTTAAAGACAACATTCGTTGAGGTGAGCTCTGTAATCTCTGATTACCTATGTTCTATAATGTGGAGATAGATACATATTACCATCGATATGGAATGAATTATTAGCGCTATTGAATTTTAGCAATCTCAACACTCTCGCTCATAATGCCAAAATTGAATCCTCGCTAAAAATTTCTGCTTATACAGTATTTTGAAGTACCTTCAGGACACATTGTGTTGAGCACTTGTGCTTAGTTATATGTAGTTTCATGAAACTCCTATAATATTCATATCTTTTCTCTTCAGCAAATGGAACCATGGTTCTGAACATTCCAAATAATGTGGCACAAGTTGGTACAACTAGGTTACAGGTAAATTTTTACCCCATGTAAGAATTATCTTGTACTGATATTCCTACCCATGAGGTTGATGCCAAAATTTGGTATGTTACATTTGAATTAAGTTTGATATTTAGATGCATAATTAATGAATTTTAATGAAGTTGACCTCTGTAGAAGTTTTAAGTAATTGGTCAGATTAGAAGTTGTAAGTAAATGACAAAATTGCTAATATGAAAAAATGTATTTAGTGTGAGCTGTTTACTCTTTAGATGGACTTCACGCTTACAACAGTGGGAACACCTGTACAAGTCAGCTGTTCTGCAACAGGATATAATACAGGTATGTAACCTAGAAATAATACATGTAATCATGTGTAACCTAGAAATAATACATGTAATCATATGTAATCTAGAAGTACAAAATGTAATACATGTAATTATGAGTGACCTAAAAATAATAAGGTAGTCAAGTATAACTTTGCTAGTGATGTTAATTGAATTGAATCATATTCCTTGTATCTTTATATGTCTCCCAAATTAAAGATGAATGTGCATAATATACATGTACATGGTCTATTTCTTTGTCTTGAACTATAATCTCATGTTTTTGAACTGTATGAAATGGTATCTGCCAGTGGATGAGGTGGAGCCTACCATGTCAATCAAGTTGCATTCAGAAGTTGTTTAACTTGTTTTATGAATACAAGTACATGTAGTAGCTTCAACAATCATTGCATGTTTTTTTTTTTTTTTTTTTTTGGAGATTGCATGATTATAGTGACTGGACACAAATGTATCTTATTTTTTATAAAATAAAAACTGCAAGGTCATGGTCCCATATTTTGATATTATTCATAAGAAATTTTTTTTTAAAAGATTAAAATTTCATTTTTGAAGTTTGCGAGGAGTTCCCAGAATTGTTGAGTTCAGTAGAACACACATATAATGAACTGCCAAGAACAAACAATATTGATTTGTTATAAACATAATTTTTTATATCCATTAAGTTTTGTGTTAAAACTACAGGAAATCAGTTCACTGTAAGTGTGAATTCATTATAAGAGTGTTCACTGTAGTCATGATTTAATGTAAATTTTAATCAGAGAAAGAAATTGTATTTAAAAAAGAAATGCTTTGTTTCTACTTATAGGACCTTCAGTTGTATTCCAGATGAATGAACCTGTTTTAGCATTCTATCCTCCTCCCTTCACAACAACAGCTACAAAATTTGGGGTAGGTGCTGTATATAATAGCCTAGGGTATATGTTATGTAGCAATAATTATGGATATATATCATTATTATATTGGGTTGAAATAGAAAGTAGAATTGTATTTAAAAATTTTTAATTTTTGATTTAATCAAAGGAAAATAGTTTTATTTTTATTTTCTAGGGTTCATAAAGAAAGCGATGCATTTGACCATGTACAGATTCAAATACATTGAAGAATTCCTAAAATTAGCTGAATAAAATCATGTTCAAATTAACTTTCTTGATGAATGCACAAAAATATTTTTATATTGAAAAGTGATGAATCAAACGTTCACATGCCTTATTGTTTAAATGATGCCTTTGGGGAGGTATACTGTATTTGTTCAATATGGTTTTCTGCTTTTGAGCACAATTATAAACAATACTCTCTTTTGTAGCTGTTATTGCTAATCACAAATCCTCCCACCACTACTATTCCCGTAAGCTGCCAGGCTAACCTCTACTCCTCTAGTACTGCCGCTCAGGGTGCCAATAACAACCCTCCATGTGGAGCCTCGCCTACTGCCACCACCACGACTGCCACAGTCACCACAGGCTCATCTGTCTCAGGTGGGTGTCACATTATATAGTCATTTAATGAACATTGAACCAGTGCAGTAAAATTTTATTAATGTGTTATGCATGATGAATTTCAATACAGGTGTTGAAATACAGTGGAGCCTCATTTATCTGGACGCTTAGGTTCCCAGTCAAAATGTCCGGATAAGTGAAGCGTCCAGATATCTGAAATGTATTGATTTCTTCCACCAATATAATTATAGCGTAATAGTATAATAGCCTTTCATATCAATATAAGTAAAGAAAAATGCTGCCAAATAGAAATAAGGTTTTATTATTTTATAGACTACATCTATAATATACATCAGCACTACTTTTTAACACTTTTTCAAATAAAATGAACATTTCTAAAACTAAAAAACTAAGCACTGTGATAACTGTCACCAAATTAAAAGATTCAAGCTAAAAATTACAATACCGATGTGTATTGTGTGTGTAGAGAACGACATTATGAAACTCTGTCGTCATGTCTATTAATAGAAATACATGTATGTGTAAAACCAATGTAGGTTCTGTACTCGGATTGTAAATATCTTTCAAATAACAAATAACTGAAGAGAAAATTATTTTCTGTTTCCAACACAGTACATGTAGTTTAATTTCACTTGTGTATCTCTCATGTATTTTGTATCTCTCATTCCTATAGTGATGTTTCGATATCGACTTAGTCTAAAATCATAACAGGTCACAGGTAATCGTCTTATAAAAACACTCAGACCAGCTAGTGTTTTTATAACAATTAACACCCAGCTCAGCCAGGAATGTTGACAACCATGGGCGTACAAATTAAAATTTACTGTCCAGATAAATGAACCAAAATATAACTTAAAAATGCATTTTTTGGTAAAAAAGACCGTCCAGATACGGAACGCGGAATTCCGGATAAATGAGCCAAAATAACATTAAAAAAATCTGTTCCCAAGAAAATTCGTCCGGAAGGTGAAGCATCCGGATATCTGGGGTCCTGATATGTGAAGGTCCACTGTATATGTATATATAAACATTGTGGTATTACCTAACATGTAGACAGAAAAATTTTATGATTGACATTTATGACTTTCTGTCTGTTTAGTGCATTTTAAAAAACATTTACTTAGTAACAAGATTTTTGAACTTTTAATAAGTTCCGTATTTTTGAGACCAAGACTTGATATCATGTAATTTACAAGTAATTGTAATATAAAGTATGGTAGAGAGGGGTCAGTTGAGGGTCTGTGTGCTTTATCCTAGAGGATTTAGGAATGGCAGTGGCCTGTGAATTGGGGTAATACATGTAGTAAGAAGGGGATTGTAATAGTGATATAGTATCACAATCAATATATTACAGTGTATCAATGCTTTAAACATGACTTGTGCATGGGTATATCATTGTATATTCTAAACACTGAACAATCAAGATTTATGTAAACTACATGTACACTGAATGTTTTTTTTCTCATTGTGTACTATCTACTTTTTATACTATGAGTGGTTTTATTTTAATATTTCAATAATTCATATAGAAAAAAATATGATTTAAACTCTACTCATGCAGTTTGACTTCATGTTTCTTTTTAACAAAACATATTTTCCTGCATATGGAATTATTGGTAAGTAACTAAAGCACAAATACCGTATACAGGGAAATTTTCGCCCCCGTTTTATTTTCGCCCCTTTCGCCCTAGACGCAAGTGGGCGAATTTAAGACTGGATGAATTCAAAGAAAACAGTATAATTTTTAAACAAAACTGTGACTGGGCGAAATTAAAATGGGGCAAAATTGTTTGCAAGTGTGAAAGGGCGAAAATAACCCTGTATACAGTATAAGCTAGTGGTGATTTTTTTTTGTATTGTGAATACATGTAGTATCACCTTGCTTGATATCAAATAAAACCCATATTTTATCACAATCCATAAAATCTCCAGTACATTCCATACCCTATGTTACCTTCTTTATCAATTTCTAGACTACATTGTATATTGAAACACTCATACATGTATGAAGACAGGTTAAGCAGAATCTTAAACATATTTTTATATGCTATAAAAAAACTTGCAGTGCTTCAATTGATCATAATTATTCACATAAAACATCAATATTGCAAACATTGTTCAACTTTTCCTTGAATCAACAATGCTTTTCTGCAAATCCCCTCCCCCGGCTTTTCCATGACAAAACACTTCTATTCTGTGACTTTATTTTCTCCTTTTTATTGATTTTTTGAAGGTACCCCTTTCATTAGCCATATAGTACCTATAGCTATTACTCCCTGTTTACAAGACTAAGTACTATAGGTAAAAACATCTAAAACATCATTAAAACATGCAGTCTGTCGAAATAATCTGCAGAATTGTTCAGTCCTAAAATGTTTACATGTAAATTTATTTGCAAGTTTAAATCCAAGGGATTTCATAAATTTGTCATCTGGTTCACTGAATATTTCTGAATGTATACTGAAGCAAAAAGAAAGTGGGTTTTTGTATTGGTTTTGTAAGGATAGACACTTAGTACCTTAAGATAGTGCAACTTTACATAAATGTAATACTAGTAGGTGGTGGTTTGTTTTTTTCAAAACGCAAAATTGTACCTAAATATTAGGATGTGCAGAATGAAAAAAAATGCAGAACAGATTTGAAAGGATAGGTGGTGCATAATACCTGTATTCATTTAAAAATCACAGAAAAGACAACTATTAAATTAATTGATTTGTGGAAAAGCAATGTCAAGTCCTTGCAGAAAAGCATATAGGGGTTTTTTTTTTAAGCACGGAAAAGCAGTTCACCCATTGCTAAATAGAGCAATTGTACATTGGTTATGTAGTTTTTATTTCACATCAAACTTGTTTACAACCATGATTTGGTGAGTGTTTAAGCACCATATTTCTTTTATTGAGAGTAGAGTGCACAAGGTTGTGTTTTATTTTCAAATAACTGTCTATTAATTTCCAAAAAAAAGTGTGTACTAATAGAATTAATAACTTTCATAAATTGTTTATTATGTTTATGATGCAATGTTTTAAGCTATATCTGACTCTAAATACAGTCATGTATTCACCTATGGGTATATTCTCCAAATGGCAAAACAAAAATGAGCAAAGAAATAAAAAAAAATCCCAGTTCTTTTTTTTTACATTCAGAGAATTCATTTCTGTACATTTACATTACAGCTGATCCCAATGCGACAACATCTGCTCCTATTCCATCCACAACATTAGTACCATCAATTCCCGAGTGGGGGGTTCTGCTTGATTCTCCTGCTATAGAGAGTGTAAGTGTACTGATTTAGAAAGGGAATTTTAACTGCAACAAATTGTTTGACATATATTTTAAGTTTGTCATGAAAACATGGACACTGTTGTTGATCATGAATACAAATACAGATTGTTGCCTATAACATGCTGACCTTTGTCAAAACATATGAGATATATGAGATAACATAGATTCATTTGGATATTATAAACAGCTCTTACTAAAGATTGTTACTCAAAAGACCAAAGAGTGGCAGATGTGTGTCTAAATTCATTTGCAGTATTAAAACTTCATTGGATCATAAGCATTATTTATTTAATTTTTTTTAGACAAATAATTACATACAAATCAAAGTGGCGAGGAACTTGGCTGCTACATCATATGTCCGGGAGTATGTGGTTGTCAGCTGCTGCACCACAAATCTACCAAACCAGCAACTTCAGGTTGCCACCTTGGTGGTGGCTGATCTCAATAAGAACAGGACTATTGACTGGACAAATGCTGCAGGTAACATATGATTGATCTCCGTCAGTTGCAGATTTTACTCAATATTTTAGAAGATACGAAAGATTATGGGATATGCATTAAATTTGAACTATTTTTATTAAAGCTCAAGTGAGCGTGAACTCAGAAACACCATACAAGAATCCAGCATTTGTCAACCTTTCACCTTGTCCATGTGATATTACCCAGAATGCCTGTGACATGGATTGCTGTTGTGATAGTGTAAGATCAAAATGTTCCAGGTTTAAAAGATAATATATTTATATGTATATGGCCTGTTTTTCAACCTTTTAATTTAAAATATCTGTGGAGAATACATGAAGTGGTAGAAACACATGAAACATTATGCTTGACATGCTTCATGCTAAATGTAAAAAAATCTCCAATATTGTCTTAATATTATCTTTTTGATCTTGTGTATAAGTTTTTTCTTCTTTTTTTTTTTGCAAAAGGACTGTACAACTTCAGACAAGAATTCCTTTCGGGACTGTATCAGTGGCCTGCTTGGGGGTCAGTCTGCCCCGTACCCGGAGTATTACTGTAAATCCTCACACCCCTTGAAGGAGGACTGGTTCCCTCTCATGTGTGTGGAAAGGGAATACAATGCCCTCATTGGATTTTTCTATGCTGCTTCAAACAACCTGAGAAATACAGAAGCTCTAAATCTTAAGATGGCATCAGAGAGTTTCTACTCATACAGGTAGAATTAAAAAGCATTAGACTTCTAGGAAAATGTTAAGACTGAGTGGTCACAGTGTCTGCTAATGGTTTTTTTTATGCCCTGTATTGAAGATTCAGGGGTACATAGATTTTGCCCTGTCCGTCCATCTGTCTGTTTGTCTGCTAAAACTTTAACATTGCCCATAACTTTTGATTGGTTGGAGCTATAGCTTTCATATTTCACATGTGTATTCCTTGTGACAGGACCTTTTTTGGGGTACCATCATATTTTACCTTTTGACCTTGGAGTTCCCAGTTTTGCAAAATTTTACCGACTTTTAACCTTGGGCATAACTTTTGAATAATTGGTGCTAGGGCTTTTCATACTTCACATGTATAATCATTTTGACAAGACCTTCCTTTGAATACCAATTGCAACAAATTTGACCCTTTGACCTTGACCTAGGAGTTTGACCTACTTTTGAAAAATTAAACTTTTGAACGGTTGGTGCTAGGGCTTTCATATTTCACGTGTATTTCTTGTGATAAGGACTTTCCTTGGGCACCATTAATTTTGACCATATGACCTTGACCTAGGAGTTTGATCTACTTTTGAAAAACTTTAATCTTGGCCATAACTTTTGAACTTTGTGCTAGGGCTTTCATACTTCACATATGTAATGCTTGTGACAATTTCTTCCTTTGGGTACCAATTACTTTGACCCTTTGATCTTGACCTTGGAGTTTGATCTACTTTAGGAAAACTTTAACCTTGGCCGTAACTTTTGAACAGTTGGTGTTAGGGCTTTCATATTTAAGATATCTATTCCTTGCGACAAGACCTTCATTTGGATACCAACAATTATAATCCATTGATCCTGACCTTGGAGTTTGACCTACTTTTGAAAAACTTTAACCTTGGCCAAAACTTTTGAACAATTGGTGCTACAGCTTTCATATTTCACTTGTGTATTTCTTGTGATAAGGCCTTTCCTTGGGCACCATTAATTTTGACCATATGACCTTGACCTTAATGTTTGACTGTCTTTTAAAGTTTAACCTTTTCCATAGCTGTTCCATGGTTGCTGCTACGACTTTCATATTTCACATGTGTATTTGTTGTGAGAAAGCCTTTCCATGGGCACCATTAATTTTGACCATTTGACCTTGATCTTAATGTTTGACTGTCTTTTGATAAAGTTTTACCTTTTCCATATCTATTCGATGATTGCTGCTAGGGCTTTCATATTTCTTTACCTTGATCTTGGAGTTTTGCCTAGATTTGAAAAACTTCAACCTTGGCCTTGAGCTGTTATACGGGGGCATCAGTGTGTCAAAACCACTTCTTGCTTTGTTTCTTTTGCTAACTGTATTGAAATCAGCTGAGGAAGAATGACTGCAAGGCAATTTATCATGTGTTAGTTATTTAGTATGTAACTGCTTTTCGAATGCTTCAATGCATTTATCATGCATACATCAATCTTTTCAGCAGATATTATTTAAAAGGGAATACCAATACATGTATTTAGACTAAGTGTATTTTTATTGATAATTGTAGTCGTCCAGACCTGACTCCAACTCCAACACTCACCTACAAAACAGGAGTGTCTGTAAGGTCCATCAAAGAGTCAGTAACAGCAGGTGGGGCTGCAGAGAGGGTTGGGACAGTTGTCCTTCCACAGAGGATCCTGGCTGGACAGTGCCTGACTACAGCTCCTGTTCGCTACTTAATGGACCGACAGTCTGACTGCAGCTTTACTCTGACCCGTGACATGTGTAACAGTGCCAGTGTCTTTAGTGCCTTATTTTATATTCAGTCCTCCACCACTAGAGATCCTTCCTGCCCAAATGCCTTCTCCATCCAGGGCAGTCCATCAGACTCTTTTCTGACAGATACCAATGTTAACTACTTCTGTACATCAGACTTCTCAGGTTATGTTAAAGATACATCATCCATAGCAGATGTCACAACATCAACATTCTTCAATTTCACATTGCCCACTGATCAAGATTGCTTGGATGTGTGTGGAAATTATATATGTGTAGAAAATGTCCCAGTAGATGTGACAGAGCCCACCAGAGGATCCCGATGTTCATTTGATGATGGGTACACTCGCCCACCTGTGCCCACTGTCAGAAACAATATTTGTGAGAATGTTGTTTTAGATGTAAAGTATGATTTTCAGTGGAAAGGCACCAGGATTGTCAGACTGGATGCAACAGTTATCCTGGGAAATGTCCCATTGTCAACAGCTGTGGCTCCTGTAGAGATAACCCAGAAGTATGAAGCTAATTTCAATTATCAATACGAATCAAATGGAACCATAGCCTCTGATAACTACAGGGGAGTCACCACAGCATACGACCGCTCAACAGGTCAGTGTATATTTCTACCACTTCTAGTACATACGAACGCTCAACAGGTCAGTGTATGTTTGTACCACTTTACATATGACCACTCTACAGAGTTGGTGCATGTTTCTATCACTTCTAGTATATATGACCGCGCAACAGGTCAGTGTATGTTTGTACCACTTCTAGTACATAGGAATGCTCAACAGGTCAGTGTATGTTTCTACCACTTCTAGAACATAGGAATGCTCAACAGGTCAGTGTTTCTACCACTTCCTGAATTTACAATGGCTCAACAGCTCATTAAATGTTTATATAAGAATGCTTAGCTTGTCTGTAAATATTCCTACCACTACATAAGACCTGTCAACAGGTCAGTTGTCAGATGTTCATTTTAAACAATTGATTATCCTGCAGTAGGTCAGTATGATGAAATGTAGTCCTTAAACCTGACACACTTTGTGACTTGACCTGACATTAGTCATTGTTCCTTGGTAAAGTCAGGTCACTTCATTTGACATGGGTCAGGTCTCGGGTACATATTTCATGATGTTGACCTCATAAAAGATAACTTATTTTATACAACCACTACATGACCACTTAACAGGTCAGTATTTTTTTTTTACCACTACATAGGACTGATGAGCAGGTCAGTTAATGTTTCTATTAATAAATATGACTGCTGAACAGGTCAGTTCTATGTGCATTCATTCTACTGCTCAAGAGCAGTAAATGCCTGTAACACTACATGCAATCACTTGACTGGACTTTCTACCAGTACACATATGATCACTCCACAGGTCTGTTAATGTTTCTACTGTTTTAGTATATATGACCCCTGAACAAGTTGTACATTATTATTTGCAGTATCTACGTACACATTTTCTTTTGTGTGCGAGTACCATTTTAACCTTTCACTGATATAAGCAATTTTGCAAGCCCTGAACTTAAATCATGGGTCCAAATTGCAAGAGCTTCAATTCTTATTTGGAGTAGGTTTCCCTGCATAATTGATTTCATCAAGTTCATGGGTGTTTTGTTTTGTAATCTACAACTTTATTAATCTTTTTTTTTTCAAGCAAATTCAGTAGGCTTTATCTTTCATTTACCTATTTAAAAACACTTTTGGTACAGTAATTCTGTTTCTATGCTAAGAAATGTTACTTTTTCTGTTGTAGGTTATGATTTAGGTAAAAACCTGCACAGTGGAGTCCAGATCAATAATGTGACAGAGAACACATTCTTGTACATCAACACCAACAAGTCTCAGCAAATGGCTGTGTGGGACACAGGTAAGAAACAAGTACCTTGCTACATGTACATCTATCTTCTGGTAAGAGATAAAAGATATTGTATATTATAACTTGCTCATTCTTACAGTTTTTGAGAAAAAATGAACAATTCAAAACTGAACACAAAGAGATGGTAATAATATTCTTTATTTATGAAAAAAATTCCTACATTATCAAAGCAGCGCATGACACAATCTGTACAAAAGTAGGAGAAATGCATACATACATGTATAAGCCCAGTCAAGTCACTGTACACTCTTGTACCATTTCAGTAATTTTAAATTTCTGTTGAACAGTTTTGTATATAATAGATTCCTATTTTACCTTTTCTAAGGTGTTGATGGTCTGTGTTTTAATGCTGGCAGAAAGTTGATTGAATTTGGACAAGATGTTTTTACAAGTTGTCTTGTAAAACTCTCTCTTCAAGACCTCAGGAATTGTTCTAATATCAGGTATTTTAAATACTTTTCTAGTTTATTTCATCTAGAATAATACATGCTTTATCAGTTTACAATTAAAATTCTGCATAATTTTAAGAATTCCATGATGTTTTTATTAAGTTCATGTATGTTGTTTATTTTTTTTCTCAGGAAAACACTGATCAATAGACTAAATAATTTAATGAAAGCTGACAAAATTGGTCGCCTTGGTAACAACAATCACTTGAATTTAGCATACTGGATAGATGTTGCAAGGTGGGTATTAGCTTTCTGAGCTTGTTTTTTGCATTAATGGACATGAGAAAAATAGTAGAGCAATGAATAACTGAGCTATACTTGTTTACTGGGGTTGACAGAACTAACTTCATAAATAAATTATAATGCTGAAAAGTAAAATTCATATGAGTGCTCTTGTTCTACAGAGAGGATGTATCAGCTGTGTGTACTGGATACCTGAACAGTGTTGATGATGCCACTAATAACAGCAAACTATCGTACGAGGCTCAGGGACTGTGTGTAGACATTATCAGTGGCATTCACCTAGATATCATGTATGCCCTTACAGGGAAAATCAATGCCACTCCAATCTATGAAGTTATTGGTGCTCGCATAAGGTACAGAGTTTCAGTAGATAAATTATACTTTTATGAGGTATTTATAGTTAAATTTTTTATCCTTGTCAATATTTCTTTACACTCATCACTCTCTACAAAACAATTTGCAGTATAAGAAGTCAAAAAAGGATTCATTCTACAGGTTTTGAGAGAATTAAGTTTCAAGATGAATTGTACACCCACCAAAGTTTGGTTCATTTAGAAATTATATCACCTAATAATTTTATTTTAATTTCAGCTATGTGAAGTCTGAGTGGCAGTTAAGGTGCACCATTGGTGACATGAATGCCTGCAACACTCCAGGATATGCAGAAACATTTGAAGTAACTAGTTATGTAAGATTTATCCTAGTGCCAGGCAACACACCAGAGAGACTGCCAAGGTGAGGGGAATAATTACTTTATCACAGGCTTGGGGGAAAAAAGGAAAATAAGACCATTATACACCATGGATATCTACCAATATTTCTAGATCAATATATATACTGAAAGGAAAAAAAATGCTTACCCAAATATAAAAGGTTAGCATTTATTACTATGGGACACAATGATAGCCAAATACAAGTTCACATTTTACAGTGTATTTCATTCATAACTGTCATTAATTGAAGCATAATATCAAATCAAATGACATTTTAGCACCACATTTATTGACTATAGGGAGTAGGGGTCAGAATTTTAACATTCAAAATTTCACAAGTCAATATCCCATGTGTCCTCATCCAGTATTTAAAGAAGCTGGTGTCGGTTTTGAACCTAAAATTGATCAGGTAGTTGATTCTTCAAATAGGGATGAAATTTCACTTCCCCATAAGTGCTTACCTCAGGTCATTGGTGGCATTTGAAAACAGATAAGGTCATTAAATTCAATGATCCATTTTGTCCCATAGTTCCTCAACTGGAGGCAATGTGGAACTAAATGGTGATCATTCTGTGTCCGTACATTGTTGGTAACATAGAAATCTAAGCATATTTTAGCAACTTGCATTCTTTTCATGTGAAATGTGGTTGTTAAAGGATGGCCCATGTGCTTTAAGGCCTGCTGCAATGGAACTTTTGCATACCTTTTTCTCTCTAATTCTGGCATTGCAGCATCCAGGAATGCTACTAGCAGTTTGAAACCTTTTCTGTCTGTGGATTAAATGGATCTCTCTGTCCGGAAGTCCCGTTGCCCTCTGAAGACATCTGCTTCTGCTAACATGCGTCTTCATTATAGCCACAATACAGTGGATTGGAGCACATTAAACTGCTCAACAATTTCATTCTGATGGTGTCTTTGCATTAGTTAGGCAATAACCAGACCTCTTAGAATTTCAGTTTGGTGTGGTATCTTTTAGGGTCCAAATCTGTTCAAATTCCCACCTTACATTTTCGAAAAAATCACTGGAGATTGCAAAAATGATCTTTAATTCCACTACAGTTTGTGGCTTTCAACCCGAAGCTCATATGCAAATTACTCGTGCTCACATCAAGCACACAAGAGTCATGGTTGAATGATTTTCTATCACAAATCCATTTCTAGACATTATTAAAGCCAATTGTGAAATAAATTTAACTATGATTATAAAAAATTGTAGTAGATCAATCAAAAATATGAGTTTCTTTTTCCTTTCAGTACTAGATTTATCTGCAACTTATTTTTATGCCCCCCTTCGAAGAATGGAGGGCATATTGCTTTGCTGCTGTCTGTTGGTCGGTTTGTCTGTCTGTGGGTTCACCAAGTTGTCGTTCATTTTCTTCACAGAGGTTGCACTTATTGAAATGAAATTTGGTATACAGATTTATCAAAAGAATATCTAGGTCAACTTCTGTTTTGGGTACGATCGAGCAAATTTTGACAGAGTTATGCCCCTTGGACTTTGAAAAATTCTAATTGTATCCAGTTTCTATTCATTCTCTTCACAGAGGTAGCACATACTGAGATGAAATTTGGTATACAGATTTATCATAAAAATATCTAGGTCAAGTTCTGTTTTGGGTATGATCGAGCAATTTTTGACAGAGTTATGCCCCTTGGACTTTGAAAAATTCCAATTATTTTTTTTTGGGGGGGGGGGGCATAATTGTTTCACAAACAGCTCTTGTGTTTTTTACTCAGAGTTCAAAATTTATAAAGCCTCTTGGTGAACAAAAAAAAAAAATTAAAAATGTTGTTCTGCTAATTAAATAAAAAGACTGCTTTTCAAAAACAAAATATTTATTTACATACATGCATCATCCACTGAAAACGAGATTTTTGCCACCTGGTACCACATATGTTTTCTTTTCTAGGTACAAGGACAGCAAGTATTATGACACCTGTTCCAAGGACGTGTGTTGGGAGGCCTTTATTTACCCCCTCTCCTCCAGATACGAGGGTGTGGATAAGGAACAGGTGCTTGTACAAGTTCTTCTCATCATCGTCATCCTCGTAGGTTTCCTCATATTCCTCAGACCATGGTGGTACATTTTATGATAGTGAATTCTGCTAGATTCTGTGATAATGATTTATAACTATAAAGGTACAAGACTGCTGTATGGGATGTCATAAAGTGTAAAAGTATGGATTATGATTGTGACTATAGGAGATGGTTTTGAGGGAGGTAGTATAGTAGATAGTACATTGCCAGGTTAAAGTGGATGAAGTTGAAAATTATTTCAGTTGGAGAGTCTGGGATTTGTGAAAACTTGAGATTATTATTGATTGATACAAATGGAGGGTCACTCCACTTTGTGTACATTTAAATGAAGCAAGATGGCCAAGAATTACTATTGTGATAATGTTCAAATGCTCATCAATTCATACACAATGTACGCAGCACATGGAAACAAAATTCTGTCCATTTTGCATCATCTCTTGTAAGACATTTGGTTGTGATAATTGATGATTTTAGAATACAATTACAATGATGATCATTTGTCTATTTTTAGACAAATTGATAAGTCTGGTGTATTTGTAAAAATGTTGGGTGAGTGAGAACACAATATACAAGTGCTTGTTGGAGAGAAAGGTGTTAGTGATTTCTTTGTTAATCATGTATTGAAATTTACATGTAGATAGGTATACTCAAATAAATTATTTTTATATTAATTTTGGATTTTATTGCATTGATTTATTTTAAAGTATAAAACTGTTCTGAATCATCAGATAAGAAGATTTTGTATTTATCAATATACTCAATTTTGATTGATTTATAGAAAAAAAAAACAATGGCAGACCTACTTGAATGATTTAATTTCCCCTGAAAGTCAGTTAATATACATGTACATTCACAAATAAAGTCAACCAAGGTATTCTACTATTGTAAATAAAACAAAAAACTGATTAACGATGAGACAAAATTTTGCAATAGTGTTATTAAACATGGAAGATAACTACGTAAATTTTATATCTTTTAGTCCTCTTATCCCCTGCATCCCACATTTAGCTCCAGCCACCTTGCATCCAAATGTTATAGCCTCTGTCAGGTTTCTACCCTCAGCAAGAGTCAAAATGGTGGCAGCATTAAATGTGTCCCCAGCTGCTAAAGTGTCACACAGCCTCTCAGGAGGGAAACAAGGGGAGGTAATTAGCTGACCTTCTGCATCAGTAGCTGCTGCTCCGTCCTCACCCCACGCACAGATGACCGAAGCTCTAAAAGAACAAATACGAATGTAGGGTCTCCCTTTTTTTGACAGTTCATTATTTTTTATCAAATGAGTGAAATTTCTTTTAAGCCTCATGCAGTAAACCATATTCAAAGAATATCTGTAATTAAGTCATCTAATTGTCAAAAGTAGGAAATATAAACTTGATATAATGATGAAACATGAACTTCATACATACAGTCGTACTGAGCTTGAGATAACTAGGTTCAAGAACACCTACCCTTTCCTACATCTCTTTATGAATCCTTTAACAGCCTCCTCCTTACTCCTCAGTCCTTGATTCTGACTGTAATCCTTACTGACAAACACATACTTAGCCTTATCCAAAAGCTGATCTTAAAAGATGGTTTAAAATTCATATTTATTAGCTTTATAACATTCTGATAATTATGAAAACAATAGTCTCAGTTGCTGAAAGCTCTTTGTCATACTCAATACTGAATGACCCAAGTTTTATATCTCAATGTCTTATCTTCATGAAAAATTGTACAAACTGACTAGGAAAATTGTACAAACTGACTAGCTAAGTGCTGACTGGGGAGTCTATTTACCCAGTTCTGGCCTGGCAGGTTTCTCCAGCTCCACTGAAGTCTGGACTTGCTCTGATTCAGACACTGAGCGATTGTACTCATCAATATGAGCTAACATCCGGACTATTTCATAGGCTGGGGTATTGAAACTTGGTCTTCCCTGAGAACGCAGTGTACATGCAGTAAATTTATTACCCTTTGATTAAATAAAATATGCAAACTGAAATTGAATTGAATACCTCAAAATGTATCCATTTGTAATTTTTCAGATCAACAGCTTTAAAGTCTTCCAAAGTTATTTCTGGCAAATTCCTATAAGAAATTTGTTTGAACTCGTGTGTTATTACAATACAGTATACGCTTACTGGAGCAAGCATTATGCTTAGAAAAAGTTTTTATGTTCCCATAATCAAAGATTTGGGGGCATATAGCTTCTGCTCTGTCCCTCTGTCTGTCTGTCTATCTGTTTGTCCACAAAAACATTAACCTTGCCCATAACTTTTGACTGGTTTGAGCTAGAGCTTTCATACTTTACATGTGTATTTCTTGTTACAAGTCCTTTCTTTGGGTACTGACATATTTGACCTCTTGACCCTGAAATTTGACCCACTCCTGAAAATTTTACCAAACTTTAACCTTGGCTATAACTTTTGAACACTTGGTGCAAAGGCTTTAACACTTCACATGTGTATTCCTTGTGATAAGACCTTCCCTTGGGCTTAAATATTTTTGCCCCCCCCCCCCTTTTGCAAAAGTGAGGGGACATTAAATCTCATTTGTCTGTCAGTCTGTCCCTCTGTCCATCACAAAAAACTTTAACTTTGATCATAACTTTTGAATGAGAAAAGAAAGGGCTTTTATATATTTCACATGTACATTACCTGTGACAAGACCTTTCCAAATATTCTATGATTTTTTTACCCTGAGACCTTGACCTTGAAGTTTGACATACTTTTCAAACATTTTAACATTGGTTATGACTTCTGAATGAGAGAAGATAGAGCTTTCATATTTTTTTCACATGTGCATTATCTGTGACAAGAGGCTTCTGAACTTGCTATGAATTTTAACCCTGTGACCTTGACATTGAAGTTTGACCTAGTTTTCAAAAATTTTAACATTAGTGATAACTTAAATGCAAGAAGATAGGGCATTCATATTTGACAAGTGCATTAACTGTGACAAGAAGTTCTGGAATGTGCTATGATATTTGATCCCATGACCTTGACTTTCATCTTTGACCTATTATTTATATCTTTTTGTATGATTGACAGACAAGACAGGACACACACACAAGACAGTTACAATATGCCATAGTTAATTGCATCCCAACCACTAAGACACCGAAAGCAAGGGACCAAATTCTTTGAATTTGCTAGTTGACCTTGGAGTTTGACCTACTTTTGAAAAACTTTAACCTTGGCCATAAGTTTTGAATGGTTGGAGTACGGCTTTCATATTTCACATGAGTATTCTTTGTGACAAGACCTTTCTATGAATACAAACAATTTTGACCTTGACCTTTGAGTTTGACCTACTTTTGAAAAACTTCAACTTTCGCCATAACTTTTGAATGGTTGGTGCTGGGGTTTTTGTATTTCACAAGTGACAAGAACTTTCTTTGGGTACAAATAATTTTGAACTTTTGACTTGACCTTGGAGTTTTACCTGCTGTTGAAAAAATTTAACCTTTGCCATAGGTTTTGACTGGTTGTAGCTAGGGCTTTCATACTTCATATGTGTATGATCCTTGTGACAAGACCTATATAAAGCCAACAGGGAATGAGAGTCATATAAATGCAAATACTTGTAGTTTACTTGCTGGCATGTAGTATGGTCCTGGATCCATTTTGTGAATTGACTATTATAACAGAGGTAGGGGTGATGTATCCTGTACTGTATGTACGGCAGTGAGAGGTAGACACTCCAAAGCTGTCAAAGTCCTCCTTCAAAAACCTCTCATCAAAATAGATTAAAAAAGAAGACATGTATAGTCTCAAGATATGAACAAGATTACAAGTAATAAAGGATTACAAATACAGTCAAACCTCATTATCTCGAACTCAAAGGGACCGAGAAAATACTTCGAAATATCCAAGGATTCGAGATATGCAGGGTAAAATACTTAAGGAATAAGCATTTGGGACTTCCAAATCACATATCATGGTATTCGAGATATCAGTGTTCGAGATATCGAAGTTCAACTGGAATGCAAAATACAATTCAATATGAAAGAAAATTATATTAAATTCATCCATTAAATAATGTGTTACAGTTAAAAATCTTGCTTCAGTTTGATAAAATGTTTAGAGGTGATATATTTAGCTGATGAATTGATTCAGTCAAACAATTATTAATCTGATGTAAATATCTGTATTGATTTGCAGTTATAGTGACATTGAGTAATTATGATATTTTACTTCATCAACTGGTACCATGCACTATGATAACTTGAAAAACTGCCCCTTTATAAAGAATTTCTAATTTCAGCAGTTATGTAGCTGATGATTCTCACTAAGGTTATAAAATGTACGCATGTGAGCTAAGGCTAGGTATAGGCGTTTCTATGCAAATGAGCTAATAAAAGCGCATAAGAGGTGTATTTATTATTCAGAGAAAGTGTTAATTTATTTTCTTATGCATACTTAGTACCCACGATATGTTATAACCAGTACACATTATGACGTCATATTATGACGTCACTGATCGTACCTACTGGGTGTAATAAAACACATCAACAAAACAGCTATTTATTTTAACATAAAAATTGCATAATGCTTAGAAGAATATTCTATAGATTAATAAAACTGCTGCACAAATCCAAGGCATTTTCTCATTTGATCGAAATTTGAGGAAACTTATACCGGACTGTACATTTTTACCCTTATTCAACTTAAAACTTTACAAATAGAAATTATACAACCGAGCTGTTGATATTTGTGCAGCAATACCAGTAAACTTTGGAATATTTTGCTTCTAAATAAACCTTGTTCAGTTAAATAAAATAGAGTATGCCCTTGCGCCGAAGCATTTTTGTTGATATCCATTATAATCTTTTGTAGTAAAGAACAATGACGTCATAATATGACGTCATAAAGTGTTCTGGCTGTCTCATGTCGTGGGTACCAAATATGCATTAGACAATAAGTTTAAACTTTCTCTGTATAATAGATATAGTCCTTAGGCATTTTAACTAGATTATTTGCGTAGAAATGCTTAAACCTAGCCTTAACTCACCTGCTTAATGAAAAATCACGAGATAATGAAAGAGATTTATTTGTGATTGGTATATATTAATTTCCATTTACTTGATAACCTTGTATATAATAATCATAATATTACTGTCAGTGAGAACAATGTACTGAGTGGAAACTACAATGAACAAATGGAAATGAAAATCACATCTGTCCTGTCATTACACATGTAGACCTATGTTTAATTCAATACCTCATTTCATTATCATTAGCAAAGCTTCCCATGTACTCAGACTGGGCTCCTAGTAGTGATAGAACAGAGCTGGTGTTGGAAGCATTACCTCCCCTCTGCCAATAGAAATCCAACACTCTGTAATAGAAAGGAATGAATAATAACAAGACCTTACTTTACTGATTCATTAATTGAAGTCAAGAACTAAATAATCTAAAAAAAAAAAAAATTACAAATATTTTTGCAAAATTACTGTCTTCCAGTAGAGGTGGGTAGAAGGAATAAAGTTGAGAGAAATGAAATCTTGAGTGTGTTATTATGTGCAATGATAATCAAATTGGAGAGGAATTTCACTAATTACTGGAATGTAATGTAATTAGTAATATTCAGAAAGATTCCTTGTTACAAAAATATTAATATGCATATCTAAATGTTTTAAAATTCTGTAATTTGATGACAAATACTAATCCTGCATTATTTTATTGAG